AGTTAAATCTTTCTAACCCTGAAATCTTAGTACGGTTCCTGCACATGTTTTTTGCCAAGTCCTGGCAGCCAATCTGTTCCATGGGTCTGGTAGTTTGCCTCCAAATTCTGGGAAGCGCATTTCCCCATTAAGAAAGTTTTTGTTTCCATTACTTACATTCTAATTGATAAAAAGCTATCATATTCCAAAAAGGACATCCTGGAATTTCTGACTTATTCCCAGCCATATTTCCATGCTGATTGCCAAAATCACAGCTGAGACTTAGTTAGGAAAAGCATTTGGTTTTATTGAACTGAAGCAAAGAGATCTGAGTTATCTTTGAGAGAAAATAGCTTTCAGAAAACGTCTTTTGAGACTCTGGCTTGCAGTACCAAAAAGGCAAATCTTCAATGTACAGTATTTATATCATATACAGAATACAATAAATTAATATCTACATGCAACATACATGAAAGTTACATACACACTGTAAAAATACAATATTTTTCAGCTTATTTTGTTTTTTAAAGTTTTTATACAGATTTTAATTTACATTTTTACACAATTTTTGTAAACTTTTTTTTTCCTTTATAAAAATCAGAGCACACCATACATCACCATTCACATCTGCACTTCAGCCTAGACACGTTGGCCACACAATGCTACAAAATCCTAACTTACGCAGCCCCTTCATTTCTACCATGACATTGCTTTTACATTATTATACTACGGAGTAAATTTCTTCTTTTGCTCACTTTGCATATATTTGAAAATATTAAGTAAAGCAACCATAAAAGTCTGTGCTTTAAGAGAAAAGAAAATGGCAAGCAATTAAGTGTCATTACAACCACTTTCATCAACTTCACATTTACCAACACTTCTGCATAATCAAATAGCCTTTCCGCTAACAGCTTTCACTTAAGCATGCAAACGTGTTATGATTAAGAAATTATTTATGACAATGTAAAATACTGGAAAAAAGCTACAGGAGTTAGTAGTAAAAGGGAAAGTAGACTTTACATTGAATGTCAAAATTTCTAATTTAATAGTTTCCTTTTTCACATTAACACTAAGGTTTTCTGAATACACTTCAGTTCCTAAAATGGATAGTAAAGCCGACCCTTGAGAAGTTTTAACACTAAAATATACCTGGCACATTGAACCAGATTACCCTCTGGTTTTCACTTTAAAAGGGGACATTATTCATCCCTAAATAACACAAGCATATTCCTTATTTAATACACTTCCTGAAATTCAACAAAGCTTTAAAAAAAGGAGAGAGAAACTCCTTTCTTAAAAAAGAATGCACAACTAAAGTTTTGGTTAAAAGTACTTCAGTCCAGACAGAAACAAGCATACACTTCTTTGCAACTCAGTCTATCCCAAAAATAGTTCCCCATATTCAACCTCTAATTTCAGCAAGGCGTTCAAGCACATATCAAGCTTTAGAGCTCTCTTATAGCCTACTAACACACAGTGTGCACTTGTTCATGCTCCTCACTGGATAAAGACCTAAATGGTTGGTTGAATCAACCCTGCTACATTTGACTTTTGCCACAGTAAGTGGTGTGTATGTTTTGGGTACTGCATGAGACTTTGCGTCAAGGTACAGAGGGTGCTTAGATACTTGTTGCCTATAGTACTATAATGCATTAAAAGTTCAGCCTAGCACACGGAGTTGATTTTGGCTTGAGGTCAAAGAAGAAGGTGCTTTCCAGGTCACTTGGTGGAGAACTGCTAAGACTTTCTTCTCCACAGCTCATATCTTCACAGGAGTCCTCACTAGGGGGTAAAATATGAAGAGTTATATACAGCTCACATAAGTGAAAAATGATTTATTTATTTTTTTAAAAAGTATTTAAAAACCCCACCCCAAATAGACAATGTTTATGTGGGTCTTTTTCTACTTTTGGGTTGCATTATTTGCATCACATTTCTTAGCAGCATCTGAGTGCTTATTTATTTATTTTAAATTCCCTAGCAGTCTGCACTGCACCCAATTGCATTAAGAATAGATTCTGCTTCCATGGTGTGAGGGTTCTGTTAATGACATTATGCACAGAATTTCCAGCGCAAAATCAACAAGAACTTGACTCTGATTATCAGTTTCTCAAGTGATTAAAATGTTCATCACTCTCTACAATTTTAAACTAAGCAGTGTCAGCTGCTATAATTCAAATAAGTTCTTTCACTTTAGATAAGGTCAGTCAAGGTCTGCACAGCTGCTAACTGCCTTATTGCACATTGGTCTCGTATTTCATTACTGAGCATCCAACTCCTGCAGCCTCAAAGCTTAACTGGCCAATTCAAAATGCACCCTTGCTTTAAACCAATTTAAACAGCACAGAGTGCTTGTAGTCTCCTCAAAATATTTACTGTCAGAGAGACCCACATTATAGTACTCCAAAGAATCTGCAGTAAGTTATTAACATTTACCTATATTTTCGTCACTTGTTAAGTTCAAGAATGAAGATTGTACTACTATTGCAGTAGTGATTTCCACTTGCTTACAGAATCAATAGCCCTTCTACATGTAAAAGGAAGTGTGCTCTGAGGTATGATTCCTTCCCACCAATGTATGTAAACACCCTCACAACGGATGCAATACAAGCTGTTTGGTTTTATGGGATCTGGAACCCACCAAGATAGTAAATGTAGCTCTAATATTTGAAATGCTAACAAACCAATACTACTTGGTTATCATCTAATCTTAAATTACACACATGCCACAAAAGAAAGTTACCATTAAATTTATTGAGATGCCATTACTTGAAAGACGAGCAGGTAAATAGAGAAAGCCCCATGGGATATACCTACCTCTCACTCTCATCAATACATCCAGCCTCTGGGATTGTGGGCAACTCAGGAACACTGTAGTAGCTGTTTTGAAGATTTTGAGCAGTACGCCTTGAAACAATCCAAACTAGTTTCTTATGGTCCGGCTTGCAACAGGCAGGAGACGAGTAATCCGCTAAGCATTTTGAAACCAGCTCTCTCCAATAAAGCAAGTCACTGTCACTTATCTAAAAACAAAAGAAGACACTCATATTTATTTGTATTCATTCAAGAGACCTCTACTACAAATCCACTATGCCTGTAATCTCATCCACAATAACCCGAGTGGGGGGCTTGTGTTCAAAAAAAGACCAGCTGGAATCGTAGTCTGAGGGATGTGCTGAAAAGCTCATCACCAGAAAAGCTGGATGCCTAAACACACTGCAGTGTTTGCATTCTGAAACACTTTCTGTGTGTCAGCTGAGCTCAACTTTCGCTTCTGGCCTAGTTCTCATACAGTTCCCCCAACATACTGTGCTAAGATCCTACAAAAGAACAGTAATTTAAAAGACCCCCACTTAGTCTCAACTGCAGATTCAGCCACACACCACATCTTCAAAGACTTTACATATTTAACTGAAATCCCAGCACTGGCACTGTGTGAGCTAATGAGGTACTGCAGTTAATGACAGTTTAGAGAATGCTTGCGGTTGCAGATGAAGTATGTGAAATCTCATACTGCAACAAATGTCTTCTGTATAGAATCATATGATGTAAGATGGGTAAAATGGGAATGTCATTCATTTTTGAGTCCTTGTTACACTTTTACACTATTTCAAAGCTTTTCAGCCATGTGACCTTCCCAATCTCCCTACATCATGCATTTGGAAACTAATTCCCATATTCAGAGGAGCACACTGTACTGTATTAGGATTGCTGGGTCCAAGTGATATAAAGCAAAAATGGTTGAATCTCTTACCTTTGAGTGCTTCTGAACATACAGAACCATCTCGAACAATTCAATGGATTTCAGAGCCTGCACTTCCAGGGACAGAAGGCACAAGGCCAAGATGGATGGCTGAAAGTAAAAACACACATATCTAGCAAAGTAACACATTACTGGATTCCATCTTTTGCCTGTCAACTACCCATTTCAGGTTTACTTTTGCTTTAACTTATAAATAAATTACTCCCACCACCACCAACACATAAAAGCCATAGTACAGAGACAAGTAAATGACTGTTTTATATTTCACATTAATGATATAGTAATATTTCCTTTTTATCCCTGGGGATCATTCCAGAGTGTACCATGAGAAAGAGGTGGCAATGGCAAATTAAGACTGATCTCATACCCACTACAAGAAGACAAACTACTGAGATTATAAAGCCAACTTAATAGTCTTCATGCTGTTATCACTTTTGTATGTTTGCTAGCATCTCCAATTTAATGGCCAAATATAATTGTGCCATTCATTATATTGCCCATACTCCTCCTATGCTTTGCTGTTATTTACTTACTTTTGCTTTTGAAAAGACTAGTCGGCAGTTGCAAGCTTTAAGTTGTGCTTCCAGTTTGTCAAGATTCAACAATTCTTTCCTATACAAAGGACAAGATGGGGAAAATGTAAACCTGGGTTATCTAGCAGTGTGGCAGAGTTCAGCTCAGCTAAGATACCTGCAGCGTTACTCAAAATGTAAGGCGGGTGCACTGATCCTATTTCCCAGTCTACAACCCTCAATGCACCTGACCGCTCCCATTCATCTTGTAGAGACTACAGGCTCTTGGCTGCATTTCCTTATCTCACTGTGCATGAGCACATATTATTGGGAAACAATAACTGGAGCATCTGCAGCCACAGCAAGCAGGAAAGTACAGGCAGCAATGGGAGAGGGATGACCCAGAAGGCTAAAGACAGAATGAGGGCTTCAAACTACCCACTGAACAACAGGGAATAAGGCTGATCCCACACGTACCTTTCTGAGGTATGACAGAGTACAATAGTATGGTACAAGTGCAAAAAGGTTAAGGCAGTAGTAGCTTTGAAGTCAAAGTGCAGCTTTTCTGAGATTATTTTCTCCATCCGCTTCAGGTCGGACACAGTGCATTTGCATTGGCTAATCCGGATGACATCATGGAGGGATGGGATGTTGCAGTCCTCTTCAACCACTCGAGCAGCCAGCTGGAAGCAACAGACCCCAATGCAGGACAAGTGCTTAGGTTTCACCTAGGGAGAAGGAAAAGAACGTTGGGAACAGCTAGTAGCATGAATGGTAAGCTACCTAGCAGCAATGTGTAATGGGCAAATAATGAAAAAAGGTACTGAAAATCCATTCATAATTATCTGGGTTCTGCTGCATGCCCTTATTGCCTAGAACAATAAGACCCTTATAGTAAAAAGCTGGCTCGTACTATGCAATACTAGGACAAGGTTTAGTAAGTTCAGCTTCTAACAGTATTCCTGCCGGTAGTGGGCATTTACTAAAAATTCAGCAATATTATTCACTAGGTGTCATCTGGAATGGTGCCATAGATTCAGATAACCTCACTAAGAAGTGTAATATGATTGCAATTTGGCTTTGGACCAAAAATGTCAGAGACAAAGACAGGGAACTGAGGAAGACAAGGAAAACGTGGGAATGCTATTTTCTGTTTCTGTCACACACCTATAATAAGGCAATTATCTTAGATTACCGTATTGCCTTAAAGTCAAAAACAAATGCCAAAGACAATAGAAACATATTGTTACTGAATATGTGCAAAAATGCATACAGCTGCTCCTTCTAGATGTACCTTCATGAGTGCCAAAAATCTGTCTAGGATGTTGACTGCCAAGACAAATGTTTCTGTGGCAAACCCGAAGAAGTTGGTAAGACTCCAGAGATCTTCAACTTTTGCATTCCTCAGTCTTGGACATAAGGCGTTTTCATTCTGTGTAGCAAGAGAAATAGCTTTGTGTTATATGTATAAACCCTGCACAGAAATGTCTTAGAAGCTGATCTATACATTCTGATGTGGTGTGACAGCCAACCTCATGGCGATTTGGAGTGGGGATGAAGAGTGCAGGCAATTACTCCATAGTTAAGCTGTCCAGAAGCCAGAAGGCCTTTCCGCTCAACATGTCAGTGATTCGCCAAACAGCTTGTCAATAACAGATTTTTTTTGCGGGGGTGGGGAGTTCCGTTGCACCACTGGAAGTCTTTGCACCAACAGGACAACTTAACTGGATACAACCCAAAATCTCTTTTCAAAATAACACAATATATAGAATGAAGTATGTGCCAATTTCTTTTCTTCTGAACCTAAGTTTGAACAGGAACCTTTGGGGGGAAATGAAATGCAGTTCAGAAGAAGTCCTGGTTTAATCTTGGACTACAAGCCACAAAATGAATATTTATTTTGCAGTTTGGGTATAATGTCATTGGAACAAAGCATGATAGATTCAGCAAAGCAAGGAAAGGAACGAGTGCACAGTGATCATTCTGCATTGCGAGTGCTACATCTGATCAAGCCAACGGTATGTGATGTGATCTGAACACCCTATAGCACTTTTAATACCAGTCCTACAAGCTAGCCAGTGGGGTTAGAGTGCTAGACTAGGACCGGGAAGTTCCAAATCCCCACTCAGCCATGAAGCTCACTGGGTGACCTAGAGCTAATTACCTCAGAGGGTTGTTGTAAGGATAAAAGGGGAAGGAAGAGAATCAATCGTCCACCTTGAGTTCCTTTGAGAGAATGTTGAATATATATTTAATAAGCTACATGAAGAGAAATCTATGGTTTTGGTCATTTCCCTATCAAATCTCTCACATGCAACCAAAGTTCAATCATGCGAATCATTAATTCCCAGACCCAGAGAAAAGCTTTTCCTCACCTCAACAGTGCACTCAATCAAGCTAAGCCCCTTTTCCCGAGGCTGGTATTTCCATTCTTGTTCCAAATGGATTTTCAGCTGCCTGAAGAGCCAACTGCTCATCTGTTCTTCGACTCCAAGGTCCTTCATCTTAGAAAGTAGGGGAGAGGAGGAAGGAAAGACAATATGAACATTCTCAGGAGGGAAAAATTACATCCATTTCAGAGGTTAAATGTGTGTTACAACAACAACATAATCACCACTCAGAAGCAAATAATTAATGCTGTATTTCCAATTCACCCAACTTGTGTGTGTTGAGATCAGGGAGATAACAAGCATTACAATTAAAGAGCATAGTATTCTTTGACAATTTCAGATGACACAGTTCTCTGAACTGCCCACATGCCCATCTATCTAAACTGTTTACAGTGTATCATACTAAAACCATGCAATGGGAGAGGAAAAACACTCCTCTCTCTCCAGCTGAAAACCTGGGCCTTTCACGCAGTGCTTGACTAAGAGGCCAGTGCATAGGGAGTTTGGTTGAGGGGGGGTGGGGTGGAGCATAGCTGAATGCTGTCACGTACACACAGTGGAAGCAGCTTCCAAATGACTGAAGGGGGCAGCAGCAGAACAGACATACAGACTCACCAGTAAGAAACATCATCAGGCTACAACACTCTGAATATTTCCCTGGGAAGCAGACCCACCACAATAAAAGACAGCTTACTGTTGAGTAACCTGGCATAATGATATCAGGCTGCCCAAATGATAAGGCATTCTAATAAACTCCCCTGACCCCTTAAGCATATAACTCTGCAATTCTACCTGCTAAATTTTGGCTTTTACCCATCTGGCTTTCCTGTGATCCCAATACAGTGGGAGCTTTGCAGTATCTTGCTACTCTTTCCTTATTAGGTTTCGAATTAATTTGTTTGTTTCTAGTCCTTAGACCGTTACAAAAGAAAAAATAACAATTTAAATTCCTTATAGGTAATCTGTCAGACACACACACCCAATCACTCACTTTGAGTCAGCCTGTTTTCAATTCCACCCTAAGCAAAGGGATAATCTTTGTTCAACCTCGAAACAACAACAAAAATCTGGGGAGCAGAGATAGGTGGGTGGTGGCAGGGAGGGACGGAGGGAGAACTATCAAAACATTTGTCCCAAGGCCTAGATCATCTGCTGCCATCCTCAGCTAAGCCCTCACACACAAAACCTGTAAAACACATAAAGGATTTCACTCTCAACCAACAGCTTGGGGTTTGGATAAGAAAATGCCCTTTAGACAGAAGGTGAAAAGGATTGCTCTGCACAATCTACATCTAGCACAAGAGCACCTCAAAACACAAGAGATCCCTTTTAATCCTCTTTGCTGGATGTGAAACCAGCCAAAATCTCCCTCAGTTCTCATTTTTTGCCCTACTTCTCTATTTCTGTTCCGCTGATATTTTTCTTGAAAGCCCCACCTACAGCACTGCCACAGACATTCCCCTCAAATACACATCCCAACATCTCCTGCTTATCCCACATGCAACCATTTCCTCCTTTCTGGGGAACTTACATGGGGCCTTCCCCCAACCCCTGACGCACTTGTCCAGCTCTACGTGCCTCCTCCCAGCTATCAAAGACTGGGCAGTTATTGCAAAATACTTTCTGGTGTCCTCTGTTCACCTCCATAGCCCTAGTGAAGAGTTCAAGCAAACTCTTCCCAAACACACAGCAATAGGTATGAGCCTTCGTCAAAAGCTCATACCAGAAACAAACTTAGTTGGTCTCCAAGGTGCTACTGGAAGGAATTTTTTTATTGTGTTTCGACTAGGGCAGACCAACATGGCTACCTACCTGTAACTAACACAGCAATAGGGTTTGGCTCAATTCCCACCGATCCCTTGCAACCCATACCATCAAGAGTCTCTCCAAGCCAGCAGTCCTACCTAAGGTCCAGGGGGGCTCTGCCCTCCCAATTACCGATTGCTTTCCATTACCAAAAAATCCTTTCACCCCCACAGGACACCTCACCCTCTTAAGCAAAGATACACCCCTGTCAGCCTCCCCCAACCCTTTCTAAAACTTCGTCTCCCATTAAAGCTCTCCTGGGATCTGTGACAGACAAAAGCTTTCAGTGGGGCCCGCCCCTCATGAGCCTTGTCTCCTCACAGCCCCCCCCCCTCAAATCACTGCGCTCCACTCCCTATCAGCTCCTCCCCTTCATATGGATATTACTGGCTTGCCTTATTTTGCACCAAGGCTTACTAGAGTGATTGAGAGGCACTTGGAAAATGAAAATATCCTTGCAGCCACTGAGTAAGCAGCAGGCAGGCAGAGACCACCTCAGTATCACCTTGGTACATTGCTTTAGTTTAATACTGGTGGATTGTCATAGTTTGATACTGTTACTGTGCAATTTACTCATTTATCTTCATGTTACTTGCAAGGTGCCTTGAAAAGATTTGGATCCGAAAGGGGTACAAATAATTGTAATAAGTAAATAAACAATCGGTTCAGCTCTCTTAAAATCCGTTCTGCACAGGACACCCACAACGCTCCTTCAATCGCACCCTTCCCCCTCCCAGCAGAGATTTAACTTTGTAAATCTGAGAGTGGTTCACATCGCAACAAAGAAAGCAAACCGTAAACACACAAATCACCCCTCCCCAAACACAGCAGGACACATTAAATAAAAATGTATCTCCAAACAAGCTGAGTCCTCCACCCCCAATAGTACTGTTTAAAGAAACTGGCGAGGACAAGGGTGCACAAAAACAAAAAGGCCTTCGGCCAATTATTTCCTCTTCCTGGCATTCTCACATTTTATTCCAGTACCTGCTTTTGCAATTGTTTTCATGGCCCTGTCTTTTTCTTCCTTTTGGGGGGGGGGAATGTGCGTATATAAGACAGTTCATATGAACCTCTCTCATTCATATATATATATATATATGCATGCATGCTATGGAATCTGAAACTATCACCACACATAAATAAATAGCCTGTTAAAGTCTTTTTCATGTACTTTAAAAAAAAAACAACTCCTAAAAATAAATACAATCGATAGATCGGGGTGTGTGTGTGTAATGAACAATCACCCCGAACGTACTATCAAAATAGGCAGGACACAGCAGCTTTTAAACCTTTGGGGGGGGTTCTTTTTGATAAATATGCCGGATTTGTTGTAATGATAGATATTTCGTGGGTTTCGGGGAGCACTCTTTGCTCAGCCGATTTTCGGAATAGGAAGCAGTTTACAGGGGACGCTTTTAAAGGAAGAAAGGGAAGCTACAAAAGGCTTAACCCCCCCCCCCATTTTTCCATCTCTCAGCCGGACATACCTCTCCTCAGGGGCGCCGCTTCTCGTCTTCTCGAGACCCCGGAAGGGACGGAGGAGGGAGGCCGGGGGCTGGAGCGAAGGGAGGCGGCGGGCGGTTGTCCCCTCAGCGGTGGCGACAACAACAGCGAACGGCCGAGGCGCCCCGTCCTCACCGATCCATCCAGCCGCCCTCCGCCCACTCCAAGCCCCGACCTTCCCCCGTCCTTCCCGGCCCGGCGTCAGCGCGAAAGCAGCAGCGGCACCATCGCCTCCCGCTCCCCAAGCCCCGGAGACCTCCGCGGGGCAGCCGAGCCGGAGGCGCCTCAGACCCACATCAAAATGGAGTCCGCTCGGAAGAGAGCCGAGCAGCCCCGGGCCCCGCCCCTCTTTCCGTCACGTGACCGCCCGCCCGCCCCGCTCTCCTCCTTGTTTTGTTTCCCTCGAGTTGCTTTGGGCGGAAGGATTCGCAGCCGCGGCGGCGATGCGGTCCTGTAGGAGGAGGGGGAATGACGTAAAAAAATAAACCCTCTCGTTTCTTTCACTTCCCGCCCCCCACGAATGGAATGTACCTCATCGAACGCCAGTAGCGATTTGGGGAACGGCGGGAATGCTTCCTCCCATCAATCGCGCAAATGATTGCCTTTTGCTTTTAACCGAGAGGCGGAAGGACACTCCATGCCTTGGGACGCATCGCTCCTTTTAAAGGGACAAAGGTGGGGGCGGGAGGAAAACCTTCGTTTTGAAAAGTCCGCCCAAAAGGCTACTTGCTGATTGGTCGGTGGCTGCAGAGCGGTGATTGGACGCGGGGGGCGGGCCTTTTTTTGTTGTTTCTGCGCCGGCCATCCGAATGTTTTGTGGTTCAGAGGAGTTGGCGCTGACTGGTGGGAGGTGACGGCAGTTCGCTGTCAAGATCAGCCAATGAGGAGAGAGCTTGGCTTCTCCCTCCCTCGGGGCTCTTTTTTGTTTTCCTCCTCCAGCTGATTCTACGGCGAGGCGGGGGTGACGTGGGGGAGGGGAGAGAAGCGCCCAACTGCCATTTCCCAACTGTCATTTTCTGGGGGTGGGGGCTGGGCAGAAGAAAATGGAGGGGCGCAGCTTCACCCCTTGCTCAGCTGCAGCCTTTTCAGAGTCAAGGTCTCCAGAGGGCATTCCTCAACCCCAAACATTGTTTGTTTAAATTGTACCAAGGTCTCCAGAGGTGAACTCCCAACTCCATTTATATTTATTTGCTTTTGTAAAAATAGTGTGTGTGGGGAGAACCTCAGTGGTTTACAAAGAAAGAAAAAACGATGAAATTATTGCTAACAATCTTTGTTGTTGTTGTTTAGTTGTGTTCGCCTCTTCGTGACCCCATGGACCAGAGCATGCCAGGCACTCCTGTCTTCCACTGCCTCCCGCAGTTTGGTCAGACTCATGCTGGTAGCTTCGAGAACACTGTCCCACCATCTCGTCCTCTGCCGTCCCCTTCTCCTTGTGCCCTCCATCTTTCCCAACATCAGGGTCTTTTCCAGGAGTCTTCTCTTCTCATGAGGTGGCCAAAGTACTGGAGCCTCAGCTTCAGGATCTGTCCTTCCAGTGAGCACTTAGGGCTGATTTCCTTAAGAATGGATCAGGTTTGATCTTCTTGCAGTCCATGGGACTCTCAAGAGTCTCCTCCAGCACCATAATTCAAAAGCATCAATTCTTCGGCGATCAGCCTTCTTTATGGTCCAGCTCTCACTTCCATACATTACTACTGGGAAAACCATAGCTTTAACTATATGGACCTTTGTTGGCAAGGTGATGTCTCTGCTTTTTTAAGATGCTGTCTAGGTTTGTCATTGCTTTTCTCCCAAGAAGCAGGCGTCTTTTAATTTCGTGACTGCTGTCACCATCTGCAGTGATTATGGAGCCCAAGAAAGTAAAATCTCTCACTGCCTCCATTTCTTCCCCTTCTATTTGCCAGGAGGTGATGGGCCCAGTGGCCATGATCTTCGTTTTTTTGATGTTGAGCTTCAGACCATATTTTGTGCTCTCCTCTTTCACCCTCATTAAAAGGTTCTTTAATTCCTCCTCGCTTTCTGCCATCAAGGTCGTGTCATCTGCATATCTGAGTTGTTGATATTTCTTCCGGCAATCTTAATTCCGGCTTGGGATTCATCCAGCCCAGCCTTTACAGCCATAATTTAAAACACACAAAGTCAAAAACTACAACAGAACATCAGTTTTAATAAGGACAAACAATAGGTTTTGGTCACAGGACAGTTGCAAGATGGAATTTTCTAGTGCAACTTCATGCTTTTAAACAAAGGCTGTCAAGGCTGGACATTTTTAGTTCTAAAGGTAAATGTTTTGGAAACCATTCATGGAAACTATTTAGCAATCTGAGCTTCTACAGGTTTTTCAGGGCTTTGGTGTGTTTTAGGGATAAACAATGTTATTTTTACAAAGCAACGCAGTATTTACATAGAATATTTTGGGTGGCTCTAATCCTTCTGTTGTTGTTTAGCTGCTAAATTGCAGGCTGGTGTTACATGGATTATTTTAAAAGAAACCACAGGAGTATCATGTTCCCGATGGTCACCAAGCTGGTTTTCTTTGCATAATACCGAAAGCAGCAATAGTTGTAAAACATGATTACAATGACACAATCCCAGTTCAGGGGTGTTGGGGCACTTAATCAAGTCAGCCTAACATAATTTGGGCTAATTAATTAAGTCAGCCTAACATAATTTGGGGGTGCAAGACCTTTTTTTGCTGCGGGCATTTGGAAGTTGAAACATCAAAGCAATATTTAGCTATGAAAATAATAGCTCAAAGGTGCTGATGTGTACCAGCAATGGAAATATGGAACAGAGCAGAGGAATACATTGGTACTAGGGAGGGCCAAGCAACCTCATTTAGAGGGATAGCTTGCAATGGAGCTACGTGTCCTTTTCATGAGTGCAGGGTTGAGCCAAGAAGAGTGGAAACAGCTGCTACAAACCAGGATGTTGAGAGGCATTGCTTCTCACTCTTTGGGCAGATACCTCTCCTGTTGGGAAATGGCCTTGAAGGCCCTTAAATCTAGGGCCTGGGTGGGGATTCTTTAATGGACAATTATTTAGTTACGTAAAACTAATTTCTAGCCCACTTTTTTTCTAGACAGATACTGCGGAGAGTAAACAGTAATATAAGGGAGGAGTTTGATGCAGTGATACGGAGATCGTGGTCTGATGGGGCAATGTCCCCTCTCTTCTTCCATGGCGCTGAGCCTCTTTGGCTTGCCGATCAGAGTTGGCAGTCCGAATCCGCGCAACAGGGTGAGCTCTCATTGTTCTTTCCCAGCTTCTGCCAACCTAGCAGTTTGAAAGCACGCCAGTGCAAGTAGATAAATAGGTACCACTGCAGCGGGGAGGTAAACAGCGTTTCCGTGTGCTCTGGTTTCCGTCACGGTGTGCCATTGCGCCAGAAGCTGTTTAGTCCTGCTGGCCACATGACCCGGAAAGCTGTCTGTGGACAAACGCCGGCTCCCTCGTCCTGAAGCAAGATGAACGCTGCAACCCCATAGTCGCCTTTGACTGGATTTAACCCTCCAGGGGTCCTTTACCTATATTTTTTTTTACCTCTAGCCAATAGGTGGGGGTCACAGGGGGAAAGCCCTGCTGTTCTAACAGAAGTTCTTGTGTGGGTTTCCACTAGGAAGTGGCTCATCAGCTGAATACAGTGGTACCTCTGGTTAAGTACTTAATTCGTTCCGGAGGTCCGTACTTACGGTAACCTGAAACTGTTCTTAACCTGAAGCACCACTTTAGCTAATGGGGCCTCCTGCTGCTGCCACGCCGCCGGAGCCCAATTTCTGTTCTCATCCTGAAGCAAAGTTCTTAACCTGAAGCACTATTTCTGGGTTAGCGGAGTCTGTAACCTGAAGCGTGTGTAACCTGAGGTACCACTGTACAACCCACAGTAATCAACAACCAAGACACATGATACTTTTTCTCATTTCTTTCTTTTAGTCAGTGCTGTTTTTCTAGAAAAAGAGATGCCGGAACTCACCATGAACACCTCCCTCATTTTCTTAGAATGGCAATGGCACCCACTTGAGAGGTGCCGGAACTGAGTTCCTGGAAGTTCCCCCTGGGGGAAATCCCTGCTTTTAATTATGTTTGTTAATCTTTGTCCCCCATCTCAACGTAAGTATGTATCTCTGTGTTGAATACTGAGTATATATAAATTTTAAAACATTAAAAACACATAAGACAAAGAAAAGGCAGTAAGAAATTTCAAAAGTACCGCAATAGCTGCGAGAACATTGTTAGCGAAGAATTGGAAGAAACAAAATTTACCAACTATCGAAGAATGGCAGATAATAATAATAATAATAATAATAATAATAATAATAATAATAATAATTTATTTATACCCCGGCCATCTGGCTGGGCTTCCCCAGCCACTCTGATGAAGATGATGGACTATATGGAACTTGCCGAACTGACCGGGAGACTCCGAGACCAGAGATAAGAGAAGGTGGAAGAAGACTGGAAGAAGTTTAAGGAATATTTGAAAAAATATGTTAATATTTAAACCTTAGAATAGCTTTGGAAGGGGACATAGGCTGTAGGGTTAGAAGTAGAAGATAGGGTATTTAAAAATAGTATTATTTGTAAGTGATAAAATGTGAAGTTATTTTAAGTATGATTTTAAAAAAAGATGGTTAGAAATTATGATATATGTAAACTGCTAAAGATGAAGTAAAATGAAAATCAGATAGGGTGGGACTTGGGGAAGCCAACTTAACAATGTTTAGAAAAATAAGGATATGACAAGAATTTGTTTGTATTATTTGTCTTCTCTGTCTGTGTTTTTTATTTGTGTTATAAAATGATTTTAAAAAATTTGGGGGAAAAAAGAGAAATTTCAAGAGTACCAGTGGAGGCTGGTCGATTAGGGCGAATGGGACACTGCCCCAGCAACCTCAGCCTGCCTTTTTACTTCCTTCAAGTCCTAGAATCATAGAGTAGGAAGAGATCCCAAAAGTCAACTAATCCAATCCCCTGCAATCCTTCCCACAGCCGTCCCTGGGTTTGCGTGAACCACTAACCTTCTGGTTAACAGCCAGATGCACTGACCCATTGTGGGGGTGCTACTGCCTGTTGGCTTCCTCCTCCTTAGTCCCTTGTGCAACTCAGCAGAGAGGAGGCTGGTGAGAAAACTGTAATTAGTTGGCTCTGCCTGTTAGTGGCTTTGGCTCTGCACACTGTTGGGCTTCCTGCCTTCCGCCCTACTAGTCCCAATGGGAACCAGCCAGCACAGAAGTGAACAACCATCTTTTTAAAACAAGCACCAACCTTAAGGTTACCAGAGTTAGGTGATAATGTCATAACTGGAGGAGTCTTGCAACTCCTAAGCTGCTTGGCTGGCGAGATGGCAGCTGTCCAACAAACAAAGTTACCAATCACAGCTTTGCCCAATCAAGAGCCTAATGTTATAGCACTACCGGCTATAGTGGAAACTCCTGTAACTTCAAACTATTCATTATCACGTGTGAGAGCCAAAAGGAGCTACTTACTATGTGAGGCTTAATCAAGGAAAATGAAAACCCAGGCATCACTGATTATTTATTTAATATATTCCTGTAGAACATCCAATAGCATACGAAATGTGGGCAATTCGCATAAATAGAAGATTGAAATGTAATATTAAAATACAAAACACTAAGGAAACCAAATGTGATGTGTTTTCCTTACCAATGGCAAATGCTACCCTGGGGTTATCAGTCAATATACATTTTTAGCTAATGGTGTATATTGAACATTTAGTTATGACTTATCGCAATTGCAGTGCAAAGCCTCCATCCCATTTTGTGTGCAAGGGAACTCTCCTTCATTGCAGTGAGATAAGAGAGACTGGTTGGAATGAAAGCAACACTAACAGCATAGCCCTTGCCATTTCTTCTCAGAAGTCAGTCCCATTTAATTCAATGGGTCTTACTCACAGGTAAGTAGGCTTAGGACAGCTGTCAGACATGTCACCATTTTATTGAACACGTAAGGTGAGAGCCAACCAAGTCAGAATAGACTCACTGAAATGCAAGATACTTTACATTCCAGTGGGTCTACTCTGAGTATGACTTACCTTGGCTATCACACATTATCTCCATGATTCAGATAATGGCTCCAGCATTGCAACTGCTGTATTTGAAAAAAACATAATTACCATTAATGGGAACTGAGTTCATTGGTCATTGACTGTGCTTCACACTGGTAAAGTCTAACAGGCCATGTCTGTGCTTCAAAATGAACTGTGTTATGACTTCACCCAGCACAGCATAGGAAGATTATCACCTCTGATATATCACCGAGGATAATAACATAAGTTGAAGACACTCCTCCAGTGAGCAAAATAAATAGATTCATATTAAACTCTCCCTCAAGCCAGAGAAACTTGACTGAGCAACCCAAAGACTTGCTGTAAGGAAAGACAGGTATGTTTAGGGAGGTGGCAGAAATAATGTTAGTCTCACTTGGAACAATGCCAGCTCTACACATGATATTTAATTAGATTTAAGATTTAAGCTGTGATATGACCTGTGTGGGTTTACCCTCCCAGCATATTTTTAAAATTAGTGTGGGATGATTCAGAAGGAAACCATGCCTGTTCTTACAAGGAAAAGGATTTGGTTTCATCAGTGTGATTCCGTGTACAATAAGAGAGTTGCAGGCCACCAAGGAAAAGGAAATTGGCAAAAATTTCATGGGAAGCCAAACCATTTTTTTCTGCATAAAAGGCATGCCCATAAATGGCAGAAGTGCTAGTTATGCCACAATTGTATTCTGAATAATCCAAGCATTCAAAAAATAAATAAATTATGGTAAGGGTTATTTACAATCACAAAGTAGTCATTCTGATTGAACAGTCTGGTTTCCAAATATGCGTTAACAAGCAGGCAAATTACCCAGGGGCATGACTCAGAGTGGGATAATTCAAGATGATAAAATACCCATTAACTGAAAACAAAAGGAATAATTACAACTCATTTGGGGAATTAACCATTTTGCTAAAAAACAAGGACGGATCTAAAAACCATGTGAAGGACTCTTATAATTGGCTGAGTTAAGATAGCTTTAATTCTTCTTGAGCAGAAGACACAGCTGTGGAGTAAAAAACAGGCAGCCCTCATGTGGATTATCATATGTGACCATGTTGTACATGTATTCTGTGGCCACACAGTGTTGTTGCATCTTGGTGTACATGTAATTCTCATGTGGAATCTCATGTGCAATTATTTATACAAGGGTTACATGCTTTGTCCTACATAAAAGTATTTTCTATGTAACACTGACATGGCCTTCAGGCCTACTTTATGCATTGTCCCTCTGCCTCTGAAAGACCTCTCTGTGTACATGTTCAGAAGACAATGTAAATGCCATATCATTATGAATACTGTACAGTACATGAATTTGAGAAGCTAACGCAAGTGGTGGTTTCTTGACATGGCATACCTGTCAACTTTCAGATTTGAAAATAAGGGATCAGCAGCCTCACCTGTCCTGGGGACAGTTAACGGGATATGTAACAATCCGGGATAGCAGCGGGAAGCAGCGGGAAACGGCGCTGGAATAAGGGAATTTCCCGCAAAAAAGGGGAAGGTTGACAGCTTTGGCACATGGTGAAAAATCTGAGCCTTTCCCCCCCCAAATATATGACCAAGTATATACAGTACTTTTTCCAGTAGGAAGATTAATGTAGAACTCAAAGCAAAACTAGGGAGTAATTTTTTTAAAAATGGATGTTATTTAAACTGTACAACAAAATAATAAGAACACATAATTATAATTATAATTATCCATGGATTGCAATGATCTCTAATAGAATTTCATACACAAAGATCACTTCTATACTATTTAATATATTTCTGAAAATCTCAGTATGTTTATATTTCCATATGTCGAGAGGCAATCTTTCTTTAATTACATCTCCAAGATCTACTTGAAGATCTACCTGTACTGGTTTCTCTCCCCACCCCCCACCCAAATATGGGGGTAATATCACTGGAATTGAATAAAGGCTCCCCTTCAACTGTGTATCTAATGAAGATCTCAGACTTCTTCTACATACATGAGCCTATTGCTCAGCCTATTCTAAGCTGTATATCTTTATCCCAATGGCTTTACATTTCAGTGCCAAACTACATGTTACGAGAAGTATGCACTTAAACTGGATATTTTTATTTTGAAGAAAGAACCCCAATGAACTTGGGGGTCTGTGCCAATTTTCTGCTGAACCTCCTCCCATAGCTACTTTGCCCTCAAAGGGACTGTTTGGAGTAAACAAGACTTTCTGGGGTAAATAGCACCTAGTTCAGTGATTTTTGGCAGGATACCAACCTGGAACAGAAACACATTCCAGAATGGGGCCCTGTGGCTGTTTTTTCTTCAAAATAAAAACTTCCCATTTGTCACATCTGGTTTGGGACTTTGCTTCTTAGGCCCAAGTGATTCTTAGTTTAAAGGGGGGCAGTTGTATTGAACAAAATATACACAGTTGTTAAATATGTTTTTGTGTAAGAACAAATCCTCTTCCCCCGAGCTCCTGACCTGACCACCCTAATTCTGAGTATCATTTCTCCTCCAGAACCAATTCAAAAACTGCTCTCCAGGACTGAGGTGAGGCGTAAATGATTGTTCACCCCATTTCTGTTCACGTCAACAGAACTGCAGCAATGCAGATGCCAGAACAATCTGCTTTTTGTGCTTTCCTAGTGATGAGTTGCCTTCCATGCAAGTTAAATTGTATGAAAGTGAGCTGAATGTTTCACTAAACCCTTAGTTTGTGTCTGAGCAAGACAGGGCAACAGAGGTTACAACTGAGGAGAAGAGAGTTAGCTCTCCCTTCCCCTGCTGTGATTCACCACCACCACCACCACCAAAAACACCCCCTTTTGTTGGCATCCATCTGTCTCGAGAGACAATGGAGTGTGCCCTCAGAGATGAAGTCAAATCCCCGTGTTGGCAGCACCAAAGTGACTTCCCCATTGCAGAAGCCAGGACAGTGTGCAGGGAGGTCCTCAGCTGATGTGGTCCAAAGGATAGCAGAGCCATGCGTTTGGTTCCAGCTTGGCTGCAGGAGTTGCCGAAAGGAGGTGTAAAAGGCGCCATCCAACTGCCTTAGGGACTCCACTCTGGATTTGCGTAGGGTTTACTCCTTAGCCTTTTCTTCTCTTGAAGACTACTTGCAAGGCAGCAGAGCTTTTGGGTCAGTTTTCCTTCTCTTAGATGGGCTACGTTCCCAGGTTTACCCCACTTCCCTCTACAGCACGTGCAGAAAACACCTTCTTGGCCATTGGACCCATGACTGGTCTCGTCTGCTCAATCTACTGGAAGATGTCTTCACATGCAGAGGAAATGCCTAACTCACTGAGGGTTTGAGATCTATTGGCTACCCTTACCAGTCAAAGCCATTCCCCGGGGTGTGACGCGGTTGCACGCTGACAGCTTCTAGGAGCCACAGGCGAGAGCTGAGTGCAGGGTAGGGACCAAAGGTGGACAAACTACCCCAGAAGAAGCATGACATGTCCCATCTACTGTAACACCCCATACACCCCAAAACACTCCTGAACATACCATGATCAGAAATGGAAATCTCTGCAGTGCAATTTACCGTATTTTTTGCTCTATAAGACTCACTTTTTCCCTCCTAAAAAGTAAGGGGAAATGTGTGTGCGTCTTATGGAGCGAATGCAGGCTGCGCAGCTATCCCAGAAGCCAGAACAGCAAGAGGGATTGCTGCTTTCACTGCGCAGCGATCCCTCTTGCTGTTCTGGCTTCTGAGATTCAGAATATTTTTTTTCTTGTTTTCCTCCTCTAAAAACTAGGTGCGTCTTGTGGTCTGGTGCGTCTTATAGAGAGAAAAATACGGTAAATTACAGCAATTACAAGATTAAAATAAGAGGAAAAACAACCTAGCCTATTTTTCTCTAGATAGAAACACATACAAATATGGGAGTAAACTTAAAAATATGTGTCATAATAAATACAGTCAGTAGCTGCATTGGATTTGAAATTGTTTTCATATATGTAACTTTTTAGTTTTTAGTTTTTTATTTTTTAAATTATTGAATAAAACAAAGTATATAGGATTGCAGACAACTAGAATAATTTTTTCCCCTCGGTCATTTTTATAATAGTAACAGTACTTAATACTTAATAATAGTTAATCATCCTAACAATGATAATTAACTAATTAAAAATACAATATAGAATTGTTAACGTTTTTGTAATCTGGTGTTGTTTCATAAAAGTGCTGCTAAATCATGACTCATTGTGTGTTTTAACTGTTCTTATATATGCAATTGTTTTATATATGTTTTTCTTCCATTGTGAAATCACTTTGAAGTTATTCATAAGGACGCCATTCATAAGTGAAATTAATAAATAAGCAATGCATGTTCCTTTTTTGTCTCCAGCTTTCAGCCACTGCACACACTGCACCAACAGGCAGAGACCAGCCCATCTGTGGCCAATAATAATAATAATAATGTTGGGCCGGGTCTGGATTTCATAATGCAAGAAAAATCCCTGCTCACGTGTTATTTCTTTCTTTTGTGTATATATGTGCAGGATTCCTTACATGTCCTTCACCGTCAGGTCCCAGGGCAGGTTACAACAATAGCATCTGCAATTATGAAAACAACAAAAACCCATGACGCATAAAACCATTCCAAATGGAACAGAACAATATAAATTCAGCCAAAGAGGTGGATCCCATAAAAACTTAAGTATCTTAACTGTTAAAGGCTGGGGTAAAGAGGTGCTTCTTCAGCATGTGGTAAAAATTATACAACGAAGGTGCATAAGAAGCTGCTTTTACTGAGCCAGACACACTATCTACCCTGAGTGGCAGCCATACCTCATTATTTACAGATTTGAAAATAAGGGACCGACAGCCTCGAAAATAAGGGATCAGCAGCCAAAATAAGGGATCAACAATAACTTTGATAAAATACATATTTTGTTGCATGCAAATAGCTTTAGATAGCTATTAGGTCCATAAATTACCATATAGCATATATTCAACACAAAAAACAGTAACAATTTGTTGTTGACAAGGGACAGCTGGACATAGAAAGGGCCCCATTACCTTCAGTAGCTTATTTAAGGGACATCATCAATAAGGGACAGCAGCGGGACATGGCGCTGGGATAAGGGACTGTCCCGCCAAATAAGGGACACTTGACAGCTATGGTGGCAGTTACTTTCCAGGGTTACAGGCAGAAAGTCTCTCCCATCCCGTCCAATTCAATGCCAGGGATTGAACCTGAGACCTTCTGCATGCAAAGCAGATGTCCTGCCACTGAGTTACTATGGCCCTTTACTAAACACACCTTTGTGGGGAGGGAGTTGTACTGTTCAGGGACTTCCACGAAGGAAGCCTTCATCCAGGCTGCCATTCCTCATACTTTAAAAGGGACAAAACCATCAAGAGGGATGAGGGATAAATTCGATTCAGTTTGCATTTAAATGCAAACTTACCCACACACATTTCTCAAGACGAAATGTATTCTTTGAAATTCACACTTCTCGAAAATTTGCAGTGAAATTTGCAAACTAAGTAATGTGTAGAAAAATGCATATACAGTAGTACCTTGGTTTTCGAACGTAATCCGTTCTGGAAGACCGTTTGAGTTCTGAAATGTTCAAAAACTGAAAACTCCATACGGAAGCCTCAATATGGAAAACTCACTACGGAAGCTGCATGGCATGTGCAACTTCCAAGGTGTGTTTGAAAACTGAAGCATTTACTTCCAGGTTTACGGTGTTCTAAAACCGAAATGTTCGTCAACGGAGACATTCAAAAAATGAGGTACCACTGTATTAGCATAAGGTATGCATAAAATTGTATTTTTTTCTTGGGGAAAAAATAAAAATGCCATGGGTGCCTTTGAGAGGAAGGATGAGATATTAATATTAATAATAATTTTATTATTTATACTCACCCATCTGGCTGGGTTTCCCCAGCCACTCCGGGCAGCTTACAGCACATCTAAAAAATTATTATCATTGGGAAATTGTTGTGAGGAACACGTATATTAGGAAAGTATTGCACTAAAATTTGCTGATTTTTCATGACTATTAATTAAAAAAATGCAAGCTGCTGTTTAAAACTGAATTAAAGAATGGGAAAATGAAAAACTAGGAGAAGCTGCAATGGATAGATTCATTCCTCCCTAATCTTAACACCTGGTGAATGGCCTGATCTGGGGCCCTGATGGTACTCTCTGAGTTTCTCTGTCCAGTTTTGTTTGGGGATTGGCACACAAAAGATGACCAGGCCAACGCCTTAGCATCACAGCGCAAGAACAAGGCCCACATGCCTGGTTGTTGCAGCTGCTTTCTTTGAAGGATTGCTGGCAGCACCTTCCAGGTTGTCCTTTGGGTTGTGTGGGTGGGCCCTTGGAAGCGCAGTCTGGCTAAGAGACAAATTGGTTTTGTGTGTATTCTTGCTAACATGGAGCATCCATTTAGCTGTTCTCTCCCTGACAGATAATGAGCCATTAAGGATCTGAATCACTGAGCAGATCAAGAGAGAATTCAGAAAGACAGTTTGACAAAAGGCACTTCAGCGTTAATTTACCTTGTTTGTTTTGTGTGTGTAATAAAAATATAACCTTGAGCTCTCCATATTTACCAGCAGAGAGCCCATGGGATGATAAAAGTCTGCATTCTCATCGCATCAAGTCCAGCAAAGGCATCTTCTTCATTTATTTCAGTCCTCAAAAATTACTGAGTTAATATTTGGAGAGCGTGGTTACCGTATCTCTCAGCCAACAATGTGTCAGACACATAGCCGTCATCTCTTATCACAATGTGAGTCAACTTCTTGCCTGGGGGTTTAGACAGGGGGAAGGGTTTAAATGCTGGTAGTAGACAGGGCTGAAGATAGCAGTGAGTGGAACCAGAGTCAAAAGTGGGTAGTGAACCCCTCTTATCTATGTCACCCCCTTTCTACCCTACTTCCCTCCCTCCTTGCTGCCTGCATGAAAAGAAGCTGCTCAGCTTGTTCACTCCAATGTAAATAAATCATTTGCAACATACTCCAATCTGTGTAGGAGAGGAATTCACCGCCCAGCCTTTCTGCATAAACCATCCCGAAGACTCCAACATGACTAAACCCAGCCAGCTCGGTTTCCTTTGGGGACGGGGGCCTCTCTGGGCTTAATATAGTGAGAAGCACTTTTTTGGCACTTACAAAAAATAAATAAATGCAAGCCACATACTTCTCCTTCTTATTCTCATGTAGAAATGATCATAAACAAGCTGCTGTAGAAGAAAACTGGAAGGAAGAATGACAGGCTGAGCAGACAGTTTGGAAGAGCAGTTTCACCAGTAATGATTAACAAATACCATATGACGACAAAGCAAAAATACCAGCCTTACCCAGTAACATCCTCCAAGGTGCAGGGGTCAGGAGTGGGAAATCACTGAATCATTGTGACTCTGGGTTTTATCTGCTTTCCTTTGCCAACAAAGATACACCTGGTTTCGTAGTGGCTTCAGTCTCAGCTAGCTTCAGTGACTCAGTAGTGTAGTGCAGGGGTCTGCAAACTTTTTCAGCAGGGGGCTAGTCCACTGTCCCTCAGATCTTCTGGGGGCCGGCCTATACAGTGGTACCTCAGGTTAAGTACTTAATTTGTTCCGGAGGTCCGTTCTTAACCTGAAACTGTTCTTAACCTGAAGCACCACTTAGCTAATGGGGCCTCCTGCTGCTGCCACACCGCTGGAGCACGATTTCTGTTCTTATCCTGAAGCAAAGTTCTTAACCTGAAGCACTATTTCTGGGTTAGCGGAGTCTGTAACCTGAAGCGTATGTAACCCGAGGTACCACTGTATTTTTTTTTGGGGGGGGGAATTGAACGAATTCCTATGCCCCACGAATAACCCAGAGATGCATTTTAAATAAAAGCACACATTCTACTCATGTAAAAACACCAGGCAGCCCCCACAAATAACCCAGAGATGCATTTTAAAATAATGAGTCTGTAAGTGACTGTGGAGGCCAATTCTGGATCCACACGTCCTTCCACAGTGGGGACACAGGTTTCTGGGCAGGAGTTGATCACGGTGAGGGTTTGCCAGACATGCCTTCCTCTTAGCAAGTTTCTTCCTTTCGTCCTAAGTTCGAGCGTCTTCAAAGCCCATGACACCTTTGGTAAAGGCTGTTCTCCAACTGGAGCGCTCACAGGCCAGTGTTTCCAAATTGTCAGTGTTTATACTACACTTTTAAAGATTTGCCTTGAGAGAGTCTTTAAACCTCTTTTGTTGACCACCAGCATTATGCTTTCCATTTTTAAGTTCAGAACAGAGTAGTTGCTTTGGAAAACGATAATTAGGCATCCGCACAACATGACCAGGTGGGACGTGGGTGGCGCTGTGGGTTAAACCACAGAGCCTAGGACTTGCAGATCAGAAGGTCGGTGGTTCGAATCCCCATGACGGGGTGAGCTCCCATTGCTCAGTCCCTGCTCCTGCCCACCTAGTAGTTCAAAATCACGTCAAAGTGCAAGTAGATAAATAGGTACCGCTCCGGCAGGAAGGTAAACGGCGTTTCCGTGTGCTGCTCTGCTTCGCCAGAAGCGGCTTAGTCATGCTGGCCACATGACCCAGAGTACGCCGGGTCCCTCGGCCAATAAAGCGAGATGAGCGCCGCAACCCCTGAGTCAGTCACGACTGGAACTAATGGTCAGGGGTCCCTTTACCTTTACAACATGACCAGTCCAACGAAGCTGACGCTGAAGAATCATTGCTTTGACACAGGTGATCTTTGCTTCTTCTTAGTATTAAAAATGGGATTGTGTAGAACTGTCCCTATAAGATTATGGGCACAAATCATCAGAAATGTACCATAAAAAGATGTTTCGAGAGGCCTTGAAAGCTTTGCTGTGGCCTGGTGCAAAGCAGCCAAATGATGGTGATCAGATGCTCATGAAAGGCTTATCCCATGGTAATGGCCCCTGCCAAGGAGTGCTTTAAAGAGATCTCCACACAGCAGTTCTGACCAGTGTACAGTGCATATAAAACCAGTGTGTGCTTTTGCCACAATAAAACAAGTTCAGAGGTCCATATACCACGTGCAACAGCAGCACCTTTTGTCATGAATTGTACAGTTCCTGAACATGCATGTAATTGAAGGAATCTTAACTACAGCCTGTAGGGAAACTGGGCATGAATCTGCCTGTCTGAGACTAAACTGCTTTTGACGCACCCAGTATTTGGCTTCCACTTGCAGTCTCTGCAGCGCTGTACAAGCAACTAAATGGAGACAAAGGGTGATTAGAAATAATTAAATGTGCCGGTTTGGCCAATTCTGATGACTTTGTTCAAATAATTTCCCTTTTGTCTGCCCAAGAGAAATATGTTACATTCCAAGCTGCAGGATTTGCCCAGAAATTGAGAACCAAACTGAGTCTGGTAAATGCTCTAAACTATGGAAGTGTACGCATGCACAAGCCTTTAAACACATGCTTTGCCAGGCACCCTGTTTGTTTCACTGCTTGCTTGCATAGTTTAACCTTGGGTGTTGTTTTATCCCAGTCCTGAGTTTATCTGCTTGCATGGGTGAACAAGTTTTGTAATAATCAAATAGATCTAACAATACACATTTGACCTTAAGACCAAATCTCTCAAGGGTTGGAACCCTGTTGTGCTTTTAAGATGTGGATATTTGTACATGTCACTAGTCTGGCTTGGCCAATATACATTGGTTCTCAAATGCCTTGGTTCTCAAACGCCAAAAACCCGGAAGAAAATGTTCCGGATTTTGAACGTTTTTCGGAAGCCAAATGTCTGATGTGGCTGTTGTTTCTGGGGCACGTGCTCCAATCAGAAGCTGTGCCTTGGTTTTTGAACATTTCGGAAGTCAAACGGACTTCCAGAATGGATTAGGTTTGGTGCTTTTGTTCTTGTTATTTAATTTGTGTTTTTGTTTTTGAGGCTTTTTCGGTGAATCTGTTTTTTGTAACTGTGTGGAACCCAGTTCAGCTACTGATTGATTGACTGATTGTGTGACTGCAGAATGGATAAAAGCCCCCCATCCAAACAATGACTATCATTAGTGCAGGTAAGAAAAAAAATAATTTTAATTTTTATCATCTACAATACTGTCTTATTAATTTTATAGTACAGTACATTGAGTATTGCTTTCATCTTATGGATCAATCGATGGGTTTCGTTACATAGGAAAATTCATGTTAAATTGCTGTTTTAGGGGTTGTTTTTTAAAAATCTGGAACGGATTAATCCATGTTGCATTACTTTCTATGGGAAAGCGTGCCTTGGTTTTGGAATGCTTTGGTTTTGGAATGGACATGCGGAACGAATTAAGTTTGAGAACCAAGGTACCACTTGTACACCCAAGAAGCCAATTGTGACTCAACCATGAATGGTTGTCAAGAGAGGTTTGATCACTTGTTTTTGCTTGGTGGTAGAACGCAATATTCCAGAGATTTGGCGCCTTTGGCCTTCTGGAAGTTGCTAGACAGCAGCTCCCATCACCACTGACCATCAACAATGCTGACTTAAACTGATGGGAGTTGGGAGTTCAACATCTGTAGGGTACCATTTTGGCTACACCTGTGAGGCACCAAATTGGCTCCACTGTCTCATTTACAGTGGGTCTCATGCTTCCAAGGACTTGACTGTTACCAACAATTCTTCGAAAGAAGGTAACTACTCAGGGCCTGTCTACAAAAAGAGCAGCCACATTAACAGTCTCAGCATGGTGTGTGAGAAGCTGAGACTAGCTGGCCATCTGAATGATTTGTGAGACACTACGGTGAAGCAGGTGGCACTGTGGTCTAAATCACAGAGCCTAGGGCTTGCCAATCAGAAGGTCGGTGGTTCGAATCCCTGCGATGGGGTGAGCTCCCGTTGCTCGGTCCCTGATCCTGCCTACCTAGCAGTTCGAAAGCGCGTCAAAGGAAGTAGATAAATAGGTACCGCTCCGGCGGGAAGGTAAAGTGTGTTTGCGTGCGCTGCTCTGGTTCGCCAGAAGCAGCTTAGTCATGCTGGCCACATGACCCAGAAGCTGTACGCCAGCTCCCTCGGCCACTAAAGTGAGATGAGCTCTGCAACCCCAGAGTCGTCTGCGACTGGACCTAATGGTCAGGGGTACCTTTACCTTTAGAGTGAAGCAGACACGCCGTTGACTTCGGCCAGGGAGACACGGGTTCCCATCACCACTTCATTCTTGCAGCTTGGCAAGAGATCTTCCACTCTTTTGCAGCCAAACCTGTCTCACAAGGTGGCTGTACACTATTCAGAAATGTGATGGGGGAAAGTTGTTTGTCTGCCATCAAAAGCAGAGCTGGGAGTTCTGTATTCACCGGAGATGAAATGTGCTTTGACTGCAGTCACACCTCTCCTGCCTTAGTTATATTTGGAAAAATGTGAGCATTTCTAGCAGTGTTTTGGTTGCCTCTGGCTCCTCTTTGTGTCCATTACCAAGGCTGGTCAGGAAAGCGTGAGTCATGCTTCAGTTTTCATCCATAATGGTTTCCTAATGCTAATGGGATGAAATACGAACTCAGCGCAGAAAGTCGCTTCCACGCCTGTTTGGCTTGCGTTAAAAGCAAAGAATGCTGGGCAGTTCTGAGCAACTGTTCCTGAGGCACCGGATTCCGTGGGAGACCCTTACGCAAAGCCTTTTGTGAAATTAAGCAGTGGTATAATTAGCAGGCAGGCCTCCGATATCACATGAAGAGTCTCTGAGAAGAAACGGTTCTAGAAGCAAACACAAGCATCTAAACAACGTAAGCAGGTGTGTTTACCATTGTTTATTTGCTTAGATTTCCAGTGAAGCTGGTTTATATTGATTCAGATCACTGGCTCTTCTGGCTCAGCAGTGGTTTTGACTCCCCAGAATTTCAGGTGGGACCCTTCCACTAGAGATGCTTGGGACTGAACCCAAGGCCTTTTGCATGCAAGGCAGATGCTCTAGTACTCAGCTACATACCTTCCCAACATTACCTTATTCATACCGTGCAGTCCTCCTTCCTGTGTTGCTTGGGTGATGTCAAAAGCCCTTGCCCACAAGCGGCAGTGGAGAATCTGTGAGCATACAAAAAGACCACACATTCGGTAGGTTAAAAATGGTTTACTTACAAACTCTTCAAAGGTCAGGTTCATATGCTTTTCCCTGTATCAGTCAGAAAACACAGGCAGTTCAACTTGGCTTAGTTACAGTGGCAAAAGCTCCTAAATTATAGGTAGAGGAATGCAAGAAAGGCTTGTTAGAGCCATGTGGCCTGAGCTTGGAACAACCGGCTCAGAGCTCTTTACACACTGAGCTTCTCGGGTAGACAGATGGGGAACAATAGGCTTGATTACCTTCCTCCCAAGGTGAGGGGGAGTGACCTAGCTAAACATGGCAGGACAGCTTACTCTATGGCATTAACCCCTTCATGCACTGGCACGTTGGTTGTATGAGGCTGGTTATCCCACAGAAATGTGGAGAACTCATTTCAATACTGAGAAAACCTGAGTGAAGCAAAAAGTGAAGGATTTACCCATTCCTAGGACAGAATTAACCTTTCAATTGGCCCATCAAAAAATATCATGAACACATTCAATACATCCAGGGTTGCTCCCCACACATAACACCAGCTTATCACAGCTTTGATTCTCTGGCATTTTCTTTCTCCCTCTCTGCCAACAGCGGCTGCCTTGCTGGGCATGCATCATGCACTCAGCTCTCTCTGAGCTGGGAGCATGAAGAGGGGGAAGGATGGAAGGGAACATGTCTTAGCACACAGCTGCTACCTACTTGATCCTTCCGCTCAGGCTTGAATGAGCGAACAAGTCCCTTCTCAACAGCACACACAAAGGGATTTGAGTGGAACAGATTAAAAAGCAGGACTCTCATAATTTGAGATCATGTTAATCAGTCAAATGGATGCAAGCAGCAAATCAGGCCCTGTTTATCTGTTAGGTATGTAACATGCCAACAGAAACACACAACAATTATGTTTTTCCATTCAACCTCGCCAAAGAACCTTTTCCTTCCTTCATTCAATAAATATACCAAACCTTTATTAAATAAGACCAACCAATGTGCCACAGAATAGCGAGCAAGCTTTTGAGATTAACATGCGGTGATAAGAACAAAAGTCACATGGTTGCTTTCATACCCAGTTTGGAACCTCTATTATGTAATAACCATTATTTATCATTTCTGTGGCATTCAGCAATGCATAGAAGCAATGATCCTATTTATCCTAACCTGTTTAGCCTGTGATTAAAATTCACGCGGTTACTGCTTTTATAATGTATATGATCTCTTTATGATGTGTAGCATTTCCTATTGTGTTAGAGGTGACATTAATTCAGCAATACATTATATATAATGTATATAACATTGTTATCTCAAATGATTGCTATTGTCATTTGAAATCATTAGAGGTATTGATAGCCATCTAGTGTATAAATCTGTAAGATATACTTATAAGATAACTTAGATCTGGGTAAATTCTATTCCTGGCACTGCATCCTGAAGAATAACATAGAGTGGTGGCCCAAAACCAAGCATTTTCTGCTGTTGCCCCTGTATTATGAAATGTCCTTCTCTCTGCCATGCATAAAGTAGCAACCTTCAGTTGCTTCTGATGGCTCTGTAAAGACATAATGATCACAGCTCATTGTAGAAGTAAACACAATCAAATCAGATCAGACTGCATTATTTAGCTTTATTGCTAATTAATAATAATAATAATACAGTGGACGCTTGGGTTGCGAACGTGATCTGTGCGGGAAGCACGTTCGCAACCCGCAGCGTTTGCAACCTGCAGTGGGTTGTGATTCGGCGCTTCTGCGCAAAGCGCAATTTAGCGTTTCTGCACATGCGCAAGCGCCAAAACCTGGAAGTAACCCTTTCCGGTACTTCTGGGTTCGGCGCGGTGCACAACCTGAAATCGTGCAACCCGAAGCATCTGTAACCTGAGGTATGACTGTAATAATAATTTTATTTTTTATATGTTGCTCATCGGACAGGGTTGCCCCAGTAAAAGCTGGGAGCTTTTTCTCTCGCTAATGGGCAAGCTGGAAATGCAACAAACAGCTTGGCAGCGGAGCATCTTGCTTTGCACAGCAGAGGCCTCCAGCACATCTCCAAGCAGGCACAGGAAGAATCTTGCATCAGAAACTCTGAGTGCTGCAGCAGCTCAAGACCCCAAGGGGGAAAGACAGTCGCAGCTGAGCCGTAAAGCCTCTGCTTAGCAGGCAGAAGGTCCCAGCTCCATTCCTCAAGAGCATCTCCAAGCTAGACCTGGAAATGTTGCTCGTCTGAAACCCTGGAGAGCCCCCAGCCAGCCAGTGATTAGTTGGCATCCATCTGTCTTGGGAGACACCTTTGGGGGCGAAGTCCAATTGTTGGAAGGCTGAAGAACCTGCTGTGGCTGTAGAGACTGATAGGGGAGAGACATATTTTGTTGCAGCTGGGGCAGACGAAGGTGTCCGGTTGTGCTGCTGCAAGATGCACCAGGGCATTTCTTCTCTCTGTGGTCCTCCTAGCGGTCACTCCTCTTCTGCTCACTGCTGTGGATACATGGCCTGTGTGTCTTCTGCAAGGAATTCCCATCAGGTAGGGTTAACGCTGCCAGCCTTCATGTCATGTCTGCAGACATATCTGATGGGGCGTACCTTCCGGTTGGGCCTGCCAAGGGCACAGACACAGGTACGGGGCAAAAATCACACCTGTCCACTTTGGCTTGGAGTGGCTAGAAGCCTGCCTGCTCCCTGGACGGCTGGGTGAGGTGCTGGCTCCTCTAGGCATCTCGGTGGAGAAATCCGGTCTCTGGTGTGGACTATCACAGGAGCCCTGCGCCGTGGCACAAAGACATCTCCTTGCCAAGAGCGCCAGGAAGCCTAGGCGCGCCTCTGCACCTTGCAACACGGAGTTGGCGCACCTCTGAAACCCAAGCAAGACTCCTTGCAATCACAGAACTGGTTTCACGTCCGTGGTGGAATCCTGCCTTTTCCCATTCTTTGGACATGACCAAGCCAGCGTAGAGCCAGGAACGCAAACATGCTGTTAACGTGGGCTTGGGAGAGCACATCTTTGCTGGAGACTGGAACTACACAAGGCAGCTTCCTCTGCTTTCTGAGTCGGCGGCGGCGGCACCAGTTCCGCCTCCTCTTTCCCGGGTCTCGGCGCGCGCTTCGGCGGCCCAGGATCCCTGCGCAAAGCCCGCCCGCCGCCTCCTCCTCTCCTTTACGCACGACTTTTGCGCGCAGAAGGCGGAGCAGCGAGGCCGGGGGAGGAGGCTAAGCTGCCCGCTGCCGGCTCTTCTTTCCCTCCCCTGCTCCCCCCGGGAAGCGGCTTGCTCTCTGCTTCACTCTCTCTCTTTTTCTTGTTTTTCCCCCCCCCCTTTAATTATTATTTTCCACCCCCCTTTCCCTTCCCTCTTTCCCCCCCTTCTTCCCCTTTTCCTTTCGCCTCCCCTTCCTAAGCAAGCAAGGCGCTTTTCTCTGCCCTGGGGGCAGCAACTGCACCAACCACAACAAAAGGGCCAGTTTTTTCTCTCTCTTTCTCTTTCTCTTCCTCACCTCCCCCTTCTCTCTCTTTCCCTTTTTTTGCTTTCCCTCCAAAGCGCAACGGAGAGCCCCAAGCGAAGCACCCGCCACCATGGAGGCATGAACACCGGAGGCAGCTGCAGCCCCGCCGCCGCCTCTTCTTCCCCATCAACCATGGACCGAGCAGGAAACTAACGAAGAGCAACTAAGCAAACCATCTCTCTTTCACGCCTGGAGCTGCCACCATGGGGTTTTAATGGACCGGATGCTGGCCAATTGCAACAGGGGATTTCTACGGCTTTGCAGGGGAGGTGAGCCAAATTAATAATAAATAATAATAATAAATACTTGGCCGTTGCAGATCAGGATGCAAGCCCCTTTGTTGATATCCGTGATAGAGTCTGAAATCCAAGCAAGACTCCTTTTGCAGTCGAAGGCTGCATCCTGGCCACGTTCGCCTGTTGTATGCATTTCTATATCTTTGCATTGACCTGTGTTTGCACCCTTGATCTGCACAAACCTCCATGCACAAACCATTTGTGCGGAGTAGGCCAGAGCAGGACTTGAGCAACTTCAAATATACGCAACGCTGGTGTTTCGAAAGCGGTTCCTGTTTGCATTCTGCCGGATTACGTTATTTATTTATTCTTTCGCACTCCCCTGCTGCATTGTTCCATATTTTTCGCCCCGCGTGTGCGCTTTAAGAGGGAGGTGGTGCCTAAGCCATTGCCCGTGTTGTTGTTTACATAATACATGCGGGGACCCTTCCGCGGGCGGCCTGCTGTGTAGCAAGCGCGCTCTTTTCGCGCTGCTGCAACGCCGAGCGCGTCTCCAAGAAAACTGCGCGCGCGTTTGCAACGGAGTGCAGACCGTTTATGTGCCCGGTGCAGGACGGCTTGCGGCTTGCATGCAAGGCGCAATGTAAAGGAAACGGGCGGTGAGCAGTCAAGGCTGCGGTCGGATGCAAGCTCTCTAGGGAGCCAGACCCATTGTACTCTGCTGGGGTTTGCATCTGAGTTTATACGTGGTTAGGATCCGGCGTTTGCTTTGCGCGCGCTTTGACCTTCTTTTGGATGCCTTTGGAGCAAGTTCAGTGGTGCATATTCCGTTTGGTTCACTGGGGGGACGGAAAACACTCAGCAGTGGCAAGGAAAGAAGGGGGGGGGAGTCAGTTCTGCAGAGAACACCTAGCGGGAGGCCTTGCATTGTTTCCTGGAATTTGTGCATTTGGCAGCAAAGACCCTAAATGGTGCAAACTCGGCTGCCCCCAGCGAGTGACTGTTTTGGAAAAGTGGCTCTCTCCATCCCCGCTCCTAATCCTGGCCGTGCCTGTACAGTAGTTTCAGTTCCAGGTTAGCGCTTGTTTATGTCCGAGCGGCCCGCACCGCTCCGTCTCCTGGTTACGTCATTGTGGCTGCCAGAAGCGTTGCAGAGTCTGGGAGCCGCTGCATTTGAAAGGCAGTTTGGGTCCTGTCGAGCTCATCTGCAGCAGGGATGCCCCAGGAGCCTAGCGGGCGATGCCTGGGGTGACTGAATCCTTTTTTTTTTTTTTGCAGAGTTTTTGCATCCCTCTTGTCTGGAGGGGGGTGGCAATCCTTGCAAGCGAATGGTTGTAGCATTAAAGGCCTAACTCCTGGGTCTGCAAGGAATTGGAGTGGGGGCTTGCACTAAGACCCGGGGGCCGGATCCGGCCCAATTGCCTTCTAAATCTGGCCCGCAGACAGTCCAGGAATCAGCATGTTTTTACATGAGTAGAATGTTATTTAAAATGCATCTCTGGGTTATTTGTGGGGCCTGCCTGGTGTTTTTACATGAGTGGAATGTGTGCTTTTATTTAAAATGCATCTCTGGGTTATTTGTGGGGCATAGGAATTCGTTCTTTTTTTTCCTTTCCAAAATATAGTCTGGCCCCCCACAAGGTCTGAGGGACAGTGGACCGGCCCATGGCTGAAAACGTTTGCTGACCCCTGCCCTAATCAGTGCAACCTTGCAGTAAAATACCCAGGATCTTGCCCTTGGGACAGTGCCACTGCACAAAAACTTTGCATGCCAGCCGTGGGCAGAGGGAGAGGTGTGTGGCAGGGGCTGGAGGTGGGAGTGGCCACGCTTAGTGCAGAGTTCAATCCTTGCCAACAGGGACTAGAGATCTCCTTTCGCTGGTGTCATGTTGCAACCACCCAAATGCAAGCATTAACTAAAAAAAGAAAGCCCAGCGTGCCAAGACCTGTAGCCAAAACAGATTGCCGGGTGCCAAATGATTTTTTTGTTTTGTTTTGGTTTTTTACAGAGTGCAATTCTTCCTTGCCTGTAAGCTTTGCAGAGCGAAAAGCAAAAAGGAGTCCTTGCTCCAAGGACTATATAGTCTTAAATAGATGTGTCTTAGTTTGCGCCAGTGCGAGGTGTTCGTTTCGCTTATGTAACAGTTCTGCCACACATGTAAACGAAGCACAGAATGTGCTTCTGGGCGTATCCTTAAAACTTTCTGGGTATCTGTTTGCAACTTTAAAAAAGTTACGTTTCTGGCAGAAGTCCTTGCCGCTCCCTGTGACTAGGAAAGCCAGAATAAATTGGGCATGATGGTAACCATTGCTGAAAATATTGTGCAGATCCAAAGAAGAAGAATGGTATTTCTCAGAGGTTGAGTAGCACTTTGTGTAAAGAAAATCCCTGTTTCAGTCTCTGTTGCCTCTAGGTAGGGCTATGAAGGATGCTTTGCTGCATATTGAACACAATTGGCCATTGGTCTGGCGTTGTATAAATCAACTTGTTATGTTCCTTGAACCAGGCATGTTGGCTCCACTTGCATCGTTGACTCAAAGGATTCATCTTTCTTTGGCAAAGGATGTTAAACCTTTTCCTTCGCTTGGAGCAACAAAAAACCTGGCTTGGGGTTAGCTTTCATGAGTGACAAATGGAAATGTTTTCAATAAAAACCCTGCTTTGCTGATGATTCATGTATTTCAATAAAAACACTCCATAGATCCTAAAATACGACCTACACCAACTGCAAAACTTCCCCAGTGATCTGTGCTTCTCGTATTGCAATCCATACTCCATCCCTGTAAGATAGATTGGTATTTTTGCCCTGCTCCTGCAGATTTCGTGGGGCTGAAACAGATTTTGGCTTTTCTCCTTAACAGGGACAGAGGAAGCTGCATTATACCGAGTCAGACCGTTGGTCCATCTGCCTCAGTATTGTCTACACTGACTGGCAGCAGCTCTCCAATGTTTCAGGCCAGATTCCCAAATCTACCTCCCAATGAATTCAGAGGATCATATCTCTTGAGTAGACATGCACAGGATTGCAGTTATCTGCTGTAGCATTCCAGCTCTTTTTCTTTCCTTTTAAAATAAATTTTTATTTGATTTTCAAAAATATAAACACACCACAAAACCAATTCCGAATCCAAATGCTGAGATTACTCTGAATCTCCTGACTCCCCCCCCCCCGCATCCCTTCCATGGGTCCTATTAATCCTATTTTCAACTGCATATCACTACTTCTCAAAAAAAAAATTCTAACCTTTCTAAGTTATCCATACATTACAGATGTGTTTAAAATCCCGCCAAAGTTTCAATCTGCTTGCAATAATCTTCTACAGTGGTACCTTGGGTTACATACGCTTCAGGTTACAGACTCCACTAACCCAGAAATAGTACCTCGGGTTAAGAACTTTGCTTCAGGATGTGAACAGAAATCGTGCTCCGGCGGCGCGGCAGCAGCAGGAAGCCCCATTAGCTAAAGTGGTGCTTCAGGTTAAGAACAGTTTCAGGTTAAGAACGGACCTGCGGAACGAATTAAGTACAGTAGTACTTAACCCGAGGTACCACTGTATATACCATCATAAACTTTTCCCATTCTTTTTTTAAAGATCTTGTCTTCTTGGTTCCTGAGCTTCCCAATGAATTTTGCCATTTTGGCATAGTCCATCAACTTGGTTTTCCATTCTTCTCTGGTTGCGGTTGTCTCTTCTTTCCATCTCTGGGCTAGTAACCGTTCGTGCAGCTGTTTTTAACAAAACTTATTTTAAACATTCTCCCCCCCCCCCAATTTCATTATATATCAGAGCATTCCAGCTCTTTATAATACAGTGGTACCTCGGTTTAGAGGGACGCGGGTGGTTCTGTGGGTTAAACCACAGAGCCTAGGACTTGCCAATCAGAAGTTCGGCGGTTCGAATCCCCGCGACGGGGTGAGCTCCTGTTGCTCGGTCCCTGCTCCTGCCAACCTAGCAGTTCGAAAGCACGTCAAAGTGCAAGTAGATAAATAGGTAAACGGCGTTTCCGTGCGCTGCTCTGGTTCGTCAGAAGCAGCTTAGTCATGCTGGCCACATGACCTGGAAGCTGTACGCCGGCTCCCTTGGCCAATAAAGCGAGATGAATGCCGCAACCCCAGAGTCGGCCACGACTGGACCTAATGGTCAGGGGTCCCTTTACCTTTACCTCGGTTTAAGAACAGTCCTGTTTAAGAATGATTCGGTTCACAAACTCCGCGAAACCGGAAATAGTGTCCTGGTTTGCGACTTTTACCACGGTCTAAGAACGGAATCGGAATGGTGGAAGGGCGCCTGCGGCGTAAGGCCTCATTAGGGAAAGCGTGCCTCGGTTTAAGAACGGTTTCGGTTTAAGAATGGACTTCCGGAATGTCGTAAACCAAGGTACCATTGTAAATAGAAAATGCCTTGTGGCTGCAAAGGTGTCTTGTTAATACAGTTTGGAAAGTGTATGTCCAGTGATTTCTGGATGTGCAACCTGTGAACTGGTATGTCACAACTGCCTGCAATCTGTGCAGTAGGGACCCCTTTTTACAACCTCATTCAACCCTATTGGTGTAATAGATGGCTTTCTTTGAAGTTCTTTCATCTCCCCCCCCACCCTGCAGTGATGCCTTTGTTGTTTGAGAGTTTGGGATCTTTAGGATATAGCTGATTGCAGCAGTTCCCCTTCTGCCCCTATAATCTCCCTGCAGGCGCTAGGATTTTGTGTGTGCATATTTTTGCAACGTGAGACTGGCTCAAACGTAACTCACGAAGCAGCCGCAGAGAATTAATTACTGTCTTGAGGGATTCTCTTTCAGATCTTGGTAACAATATTTTTTTTCTTCTGTTGAGAAAAAGGTCTGCAGGGATGCAGCAGTGCACCTTGAAACAACCACACAATCTCTGAGCCACCAAGTCAGGTGTGAAGTTTGTCCTGCAAAAAAACCCTTTATTTTTGTCTCTTTGCCAGAAGGTCTAGAACAGGGGTCAGCAAACTTTTTCAGCAGGGGGCCGGTCCTCTGTCCCTCAGACTTTGTGGGGGGGCTGGACTATATTTTGAAGAAGAAGAAAAAATGAATGAATTCCTATGCCCCACAAATAACCCAGAGATGCGTTTTAAATAAAAGCACACATTCTGCTCATGTAAAAACACCAGGCAGGCCCCACAAATAACCCAGAGATGCATTTTAAATAAAAGGACACATTCTACTCATGTAAAAACACGCTGATTCCTGGACTGTCTGCGGGCCGGATTGAGAAGGCGATTGGGCCAGATCCGGCCCCCGGGCCTTACTTTGCCTACCCATGGTCTAGAAAAATAGCTAATTTTCTTAGACACTCGTGCTAAATTTCTGGGAGTCCGGGTTTGGAAGGCTGCATTCAGATGAGGGGTTTATTGCATTCGTTTTGCTGGTTATATTGGTAGTACACCTGTCATGGTTTCTAAGGTGGGTTTTACGCTGTAGTACCACAGAGCCTAGGACTTGCCGATCAGAAGGTCGGTGGTTCGAATCCCCGTGACGGGGTGAGCTCCCGTTGCTCGGTCCCTGCTCCTGCCAACCTAGCAGTTCGAAAGCACGTCAAAGTGCAAGTAGATAAATAGGTACCACTTTGGCAGGAAGGTAAATGGCGTTTCCGTGCGCTCCTCTGGTTCGCCAGAAGCGGCTTAGTCATGCTGGCCACATGACCCGGAAGCTGTACGCCGGCTCCCTCAGCCAATAAAGCGAGATGAGCGCTGCAACCCCAGTCAGTCATGACTGGATCTAATGGTCAGGGGTCCCTTTACCTTTACCTGTCGCCTTACGCGACGTGGGTGGTGCTGTGGGTTAAACCACAGAGCCTAGGACTTGCCGATCAGAAGGTCGGCGGTTCAAATCCCCGCGACGGGGTGAACTCCCGTTGCTCGGTCCCAGCTCCTGCCAACCTAGCAGTTCGAAAGCACTTCAAAGTGGAAGTAGATAAATAGGTACTGCTCCGGCAGGAAGGTAAACAGCGTTTCTGTGCGCTGCTCTGGTTTGCCAGAAGCGGCTTAGTCATGCTGGCCACATGACCCAGAAGCTGTACGCCGGCTCCCTTGGCCAATAAAGCGAGATGAGCGCCGCAACCCCAGAGTCGGCCACGACTGGACCTAATGGTCAGGGTCCCTTTACCTTTACCTGTTGCCTTATGGAAGTATGACAATAACTTTATGACAACAAGACCTGTTCGACGGAGGGGAACTCTCTTTCCTTGGAGGTTTTTAAACAGAGGTTGAATGGCCTTCTGTCATGGATGCTTTAGCTGAGATTTCTGCATTGCAGGGGGTTGGAATATATGACTCTTGGGGTCCCATCAAACTCTACATCTCTATGGTTTTATGTGCCTTCATCCACGTATTTCAGGTGCGTTCCCCCTGGGGGGATGTTCTGGAGTTCTGCCCATCTCTCCCCTGCTCTGCCCCACATCATCGACCGGTGGGGAAATGATGTTTGTAACTTTAAAGTAAATATTATTGTGTTGCTGGGGAGAGATAACTTGCTTCGACTGAGGCAGGCTACTGTGTGCCCCACATCACCTCCGGTTGTGGTGCAGTTGAAGCCCTGCGTTTTAGCGAAACATCCTAAATCTTCTCTGGCGATATATAAACAGGAGCAGCAAAATAATCTGCACTTTGTTGGATGAAAGCAATTGCTCCTTTGATGTTTGCATCTGAAGGTATTTTGCCTCTGGGGCTTTCAGCTTGCAGGGGGAAAACCAAAACCTAAGGTGTGTTGTATTTGGGCCCTTTCCAGATGATTGCATTTTGTATGTAAAAAAAGAGAGAGAGAGAGAGAGGTATAGCCAGTAGGGAGTTCTGGGTGGCTGAGGAGGGATCCAAATGTGTACCTCCCAAGGGATTCTTTACAAACTTTCCAACAGAAAAATATTATTTGTTTTCTTGGGGGAAAATAATTTTATCCCCTCTCTTCCCACCACCATATGTACTGCTTTCGTTGCTGTCTTTTACATACAGATGTAGGAATTGTGATTCTGCAAGGCCCCATCCGCACTACAAATTTAAAGCACAATGATACAGTACCACTTTAAACAGTCATGGCTTCCCCCAAGGAATCCTGGGAACTGTAGTTTGTCAAGAGTGCTAAGAACTGTTGGGAGACTCGTATTCATAGCTGTAAACTTTTCCCTTTTCTTGCGAGGAATCTTATTCGGAATAAGGGAATTTCCCTTAAAAAAAAGGGAACCGTTGGCATCTATGCTCGTATTCTTCCTCACTGAGCTGCATTTCCCTAGAGCTCCCTGGGAAGTGGAATAATAATAATAATAATAATAATAATAATTTGCTTTTTTGTACACTGCTCAGCTGACTGGGTTGCCCCAGCCACACTTGTTGTTGTTTAGTCGTTTAGTCGTGTCCGACTCTTCGTGACCCCCTGGACCAGAGCACACCAGGCACTCCTGTCTTCCACTGCCTCCCGCAGTTTGGTCAAACTCATGTTCGTAGTTTCAAGAACAGTGTCCCCTTCTCCTTGTCCCCTGTTGTCCCCTTCTGCTTGTGCCCTCAATCTTTCCCAACATCAGGGTCTTTTTCAGGGAGTCTTCTCTTCTCATGAGGTGGCCAAAGTATTGGAGCCTCAGCTTCAGGATCTGTCCTTCCAGTGAGCACTCAGGGCTGATTTCCTTCAGAATGGATCGGTTTGATCTTCTTGCAGTCCATGGGACTCTCAAGAGTCTCCTCCAGCACCATAATTCAAAAGCATCAATTCTTCAGCGATCAGCCTTCTTTATGGTCCAGCTCTCACTTCTTTATGGTCCCAGCCACACTAGTCAGCTTGTAATATAATATACAGAGAAGCAGCAGCAGCATCAACAACAGAATTGTTAAACCCTCTGGGAATTGTAGCTCTGTGAGGAGGGCAGGAGTCTCAGCGCCCTTATCAAACTACAGTTCCCAGGAATCTTTGAGGGAAACTCATGGCTGTTAATAATGTTGCAAATGTGTCGTGCAGAAGGCGCCCAAGTTTGATGGCAGCATTTGGGGGAGGATTTACCACAAGGCACAATACGGTGATGTGGGAAACAGCTGGGTCTGGGTCTGTTCATTTCTTTAGGCTTTGTGGATAGACAGATAATCCTGATAGATTATTACCACACTAGTGAGAACGATGGGAACGCAGTTCAAATTATCTTCTTCAAGCACCAAAGCATATTCACTTGGCCCTGCAGGCATCTGTTGCCTACTTAGTATTGTTGCACGTGAACTGGGTCTTCATATGTGCTGCTTGGATTTTTAAATTTTTTTTAGCTTATGGATTTTTGTTGCTGTGTCAGGGTTTTTCCCTGCCTGCAGGTGTTGTGTGGTGTCTCATAAATGTGAACAGTGCTTGGACTAATCAACTGGTCCCCCAGGGAGACAAATCAATCTGGCCTTAAGTTGTGTTGCAAAAAGGTGTGTATGGTTTGGAGGGGGAACCACACCACAAGAGTTCTCTTCAGCTCCCGGCCTTGCGTAGATTGTAACCCGAATTAGGCAGTGCAGAATCTCTCTTTCCTTTGCTGAAATCTTACCATGATTTGAGTCTCAGTCTGCATGCACACCACACATTTAAAGTCAACGCAGCCCCCCAAAGAATCCTGAAAACTGTAGTTTACCCTCTCACAGAGCTACAATTCCCAGCACCCTTCACAAACTACAATTCCCAGGGAAGTCAATGTGCTTTACATTTATGATGTTTATGCAGCCTCCGTTTCCAGTTCCAGAGCTGTTGAAATCACGTTATTTTCTCCTTGTTTGAACTTTGGAGTGGAGGAGTCTCTTCGCTTAATGGTTAACCTGCCCTGTCTTGTCTCAGCCATTTCCTTGCGTGCTTATAGTCAATTGCTTAATATGGGATGGAACCCAGAGGATTTTAATTGAATAATATTAGGGTTAATAGAAAGTGTGCACACTTCTTCTTTTTTCAAAAAACAACAACAACAACCCTCAAAAACCTGAATACAGTGGTACCTCAGGTTACATATGCTTCAGGTTACATACGCTTCAGGTTACACACTCCACTAACCCAGAAATAGTGCTTCAGGTTAAGAACTTGGCTTCAGGATAAGAACAGAAATCAGGCTCTGGCGGCACGGCAGCAGCAGGAGGCCCCATTAGCTAAAGTGGTGCTTCAGGTTAAGAACAGTTTCAGGTTAAGTACGGACCTCCGGAACGAATTAAGTACTTAACCCGAGGTACCACTGTATTCAAACAGGGAGAGTAAATCGATATTGGACAGCATCTCTACAGAATTCCCAATCCTATGTCGGCCTCTAATTTGAGATGGTAAAGGGTTAAGCACCCTCCCTCCAGCAGATTCTCCCTTGCAAAGGAATCCCTTCATCTGAGTCAGTTGGCCTGCATTTGCAATTGCTGGGGTTTTTTTTTCTGGAGACTCCACTGTTTGTTTGTTTCCCTCCCCACATGTGTCCTGCAATAAATCTGGAGCGTTATAAAGCCTACCATCAGGATAACAAAATACTCCAGGGGCATTTGGCTGCAGGACGTGCGGGCTTGCACTCCTCTTGTCAAATCCCGGCTGTAAATCCGGCAACAAAATGTTCTGAAAACCACCAGAAGGTCAGCCCCGCTGCCTTTTTCCCAGCAGGCAGGGCTGGAAGCGGAACGGACTGGTCTGTTGTATGGGAGGGTTGGGAATGGGCCATTTTGCCTGTGGGGTGTGTGTGGCTAATGGGTGGGAGTACAGAATTACCTGGTGGTGTTCAGAGTGCAGAATTAACCCGTTTGCCTTGTGTTCAGGGCAGGCAGGTCATCCGCCCCCACAACCTTCTTTCCCCGCTTGCGCTTGTGCTAGGCGCTGGGGTTGCCTGGCTGGTTCGGAAGACCTCTTGCAAAGACTGCCCACAGGGCCGGTGTCTTCATTGAGCTGTCCACTATGACCCCAAGGTCTCGGCTACTTACTGGTCAGTCACCGCCATTTCAAACCCCAGGAGCGTGCATCACATCACACTTGTTTTACATTGAATTCCATTTGCCATTTTACAGTGGTACCTCGGGTTAAGAACTTAATTCATTCTGGAGGTCCGTTCTTAACCTGAAACAGTTCTTAACCTGAAGCACCACTTTAGCTAATGCTGCCGCTGTGCGATTTCTGTTCTCATCCTGAAGCAAAGTTCTTAACCCGAGGTACTATTTCTGGGTTAGCGGAGTCTGTAACCTGAAGCGTCTGTAACCCGAGGTACCACTATACTCAGTTTTGGAGAGGTCCTCTTTAGAGCGCTAGGGCAGGCAGTCTTCTTATGTTTTAAACAACCCTCAACAGTCTAGTACAGTGGTACCTTGGTTTATGAACTTAATCCATTCTGGAAGTCCGTTCTTAAATCAAAGCGTTCTTAAACCAAGGTGTGCTTTCCCAAAGCAGCGGGGGACTCAGTGTATAAATGGAATACACTCAACAGGAAGCGGAACATGTTCTTATTCCAAGGCAAAGTTCGCAGACCAAAACACCTACTTCTTCTGGGCTTGTAGCGTTCTTAATCCAAGTTGTTCATAAACTAAGCTGTTCTTAAACCAAGGTGTTGGCACTGCTCACCCCTAACTCTAGAACAGTGTTAGAAACTCAGACACGTAATCTAGGTGCCAAATGGCTCCTTGAACCAAAGTTACAATCACCGAAGCAGAATGTCTAGTTGTCTTTTTCAGGCAAGACGGCTCTAAAGTCTTATTTTTCAAATGATGGACTGGCTGTGACTGATTGTCAGTTAAGTTCAGAGGACAACCTTGAGCTAGGTTAAGAGCGTTGAGAACTTTAAAGAAGAAAAGTCACTTGATCCCAGGAAAGTTGGCATATATATTGCTGTTCCTATTCCTACCTCTTTTTCTTAATGTTGACACGGACGAGGAAGGAGCAGGACTTTTTCTGCTCAAGGGTATAGAGGTATATAAAATTAGGCATGGAGAAAGCAGATTGAGAAAAGTGTTCACCTTCCAATCTCTCATAATACTGGGAACCTAGGATCATCAAATGAATCTGGATGGTGAGAGTTTCCGGACAGACAGAAAACAAAAGCTTCTGCACACAGCTCATGAAAACTGCTACGACAAGTTATAGCGACGGCCATAAACTTTGACAGCTTTAAAAGAAAGCTCAATAAATTCATGGAGGACGAGACAATTGATGTCTCCTAGCTATGATGTTATACCTCCGGGTTCAGTACACCGTGTGCCCAGTGCTATTTTTTCTAGAAAAGGAGGTGTTTGGAGCTCACCATAAACTTATTGTTGTTATCCGCTTTGAGCCCGGCTTCGGCTGGGGAGGGCGGGATATAAATAATTTATTATTATTATTTATTATTATTCTCTCTTGTTCTCTTAGAATGGCAATGGTGCTGGAGCTGAGCTCCGGTGAGCTCTGGCTGAAAAAAAAGCCCTGAGTATGCCTTTGAATGACCATTGCTAGAAGCCACAAATGGGCTTTTTGGTGATGGCACCCTTGCAAACAGAATGCTGGATTAAACAGGCCTTTAGTTTGAGCCTTCTTACGTTCTTCTCTCACACCTGGCATTTACTGTATTTTTCGCTCTATAGGACGCACTTTCCCCCCTCCAAAAATGAAGGGGAAATGTTTGTGCGTCCTATGGAGCGAATGCAGGCTCCTTGGCTTCAGCGCGCGCTCCGGAGGCTATGCGTTGCTTTCGCTGAAGCCTGGAGAGCGAGAGGGGTCGGTGCGCACCAATCCCTCTCGCTCTCCTGGCTTCAGGGATAGCCGCCTGAAGACTTTGGAGCGCAGTGGGACCTCGCGCTGCGCTCCAAAGGCTTCAGGGTTAGCTGCACAAAGCCGCAGCAGGGTGAAGGCACTCGGCTGCCCTTCGGAGGCTACAAAGGCTGTCCCTGAAGCCAGAACAGCGAGACGGGGCGCTGCGCAGCCCTCCATCTCGCTGTTCTAGCTTCGGGATGGCTACAAAGGCTGTTCCCGAAGCCTCAAGCCTTTGGAGTGCAGCGGGAACTCGCACTGCGCTCCAAAGGCTTTGGCTCAGCGAAAGGAACCCAAAGCCTTTGGAGCGCAGCGTGAGGTTCCACTGCGCTCCAAAGGCTTCAGGGATCTTTGAGGCTAGCGGTGGGGGAACACAGCACTTCCCCACACTGCCAGCCCCACAAGCTCGGGGGGCAGCAGCAAGGCTGCGCCCAGCCTTTGTGCTGTTCCCCGACCTGCTCTTGAACGCACCTTGTTTTAGAGGTGGAGAACAAGAAAAAAAAAAATTCCCCCCTGTTCTCCCCCTCCTATGGTCTGATGCATCCTATGGTCCAGTGCGCCCTATAGAGCGAAAAATAAGGTATATAATTTTTTTTGGGGGGGGGGTTGTCCTGTTTCAGTTTCTTAACCATCCTTGGAAGAACCTAATAAGGCAATTCGGTAGTCTTTATCTTCCATATTGGAGATGTGAGGCTAAGGCAATGGTGGCAAGCAGTTTGCCTTATTGAATTTGTGACTGATGTGGGATTTCAACCAGGGGCTTCCCAGCTCTTCGTCAGCTCATTGGCTTGGGTCCCCGGACAGAAGAAAGAAATCTCCTTGGCAATTAACTCTGAACGTTTCCAGTGAGGGGAGCGGAGTTCATCTTTCAAAGCGCCGAGAAGCCTTTAGTTGCTCTGCATGGAAGCCCGAGTTCATTTACAGAACCCTGGAACTGCAGAGTTGAAAGGGACCATGAATGTAATCTTGTCTAAACCCCTGCAATGCAGGAATCTTTTGTCCAACGTGGGGTTCAAACCCATGAACCTGAGATTAAGAACTTCATGCCCCAACGACTGAGCCAATAGGAAACTGCCTATTTATTTATTTATACCCCGCCCATCTGGCTGAGTTTCCCCAGCCACTCTGGGCGGCTCCCAATCAAATGTTAAAAACAGTACAGCATTAAATATTAAAAACTTCCCTGAAGGGAGGGTGTTCCACATGGCGGGTGCCACTACCGAGAAGGCCCTCTGTCTGGTTCCCTGTAACCTCACTTCTCGCAATGATGGAACCGCCCTCATCGCCCTCAGCTCCGGGGGAAACCACTGGGGCTGTCCGGGCTCCATGCAATCGGAGAGGGTGCTTCGGAGCCAGACAGTCAATAGCCCTGATTAACTCTGCATTCCAGCATGCACCAGGGAATCAGCTGAAAGGCCGTCAACTTGGATAAAACATGCCCTACCACTCTCTGGAAGCCAATTGGATCCATTAAGTAGCGGGGGCAGACCATCCGAATCAGTCCCACCTCCCTGCAGAGGGGAAGGGTCGCGGAAAAGTCCAGTTGCACCAGGAAGTGATCTTTATACCATTGGTCCATCTAACTCAATATCGTCTACACAGATTGGCAGCGGCTCTCCAGTTTCTAAGATAGGAATCTCCCAATTTTACCCGGAGATGCTGGCTGTGGCATCCTGCATAAAAAGCAAACTCTACCACTGAGCTAAGATGTGTGGCTAGATAGTGAACTCTGGTGGTGCCCCATCCTCTGGTCGGAGGCTAGAGAGCAGTGTTAGAAATTAGCCAGGCGCCAGGTGCGTTTTGCAACTGGCACGGGTTCCGATTGTGACCAGTGGATGCCAGGTGGGCGACTGACATCTCCCATCTGGCTTGCCTCTCCGGCTTTCTTAAGTAGAAAAGCTTGTTTATTGCATTTATATACTGCCTTTTTCTCTGAGGAGGACATGGTTCACATACCCCTCTTTAGTTAATCCCTGCAACAACCCTGTGAGGTAGATTAAGAGGTTGTGACTGACTCCGAGGTCACACAGTGAGCTTCATGGCTGAGTGGGGATTTGAACCCTGATCTCCCATGTCTTAGTCCAGTCCCCTAACCACTACACCACACTGGCTCCCTGCTGCTATTCATTTATTCTGGATTGGTTTATTTGACGTTTTAATGCATAGTAAACCGCTTTGAGATTCCCCCCCCCTTTTAAAATATAAAGCGTCATAGAAACGAAATGAATAATACAGTGGTACCTCAGGTTACATACGCTTCATGTTACATACGCTTCAGGTTACAGACTCCACTAACCCAGAAATAGTACTTCAGGTTAAGAACTTTGCTTCAGGATGAGAACAGAAATCGTGCTCCGGCGGCAGCGGCAGGAGGCCCCATTAGCTAAAGTGGTGCTTCAGGTTAAGAACAGTTTCAGGTTAAGTACGGACCTCCAGAACGAATTAAGTTCTTAACCTGAGGTACCACTGTAATAGAAATAATACATTTTACTGCAAAAAAAAGAGGCGCCTAGACATTCCGTAACCCAGGTTTAAGGCGCCATTTGTCGATGAGCTATATCTGAGTTTCTAACACTGCTAGACAGTGGTGTGTGTGAGTGCATGTAGAAAGCAGCTTACTGCACAAAGGTAAAATTTGCATCGCTTGCTCCGCCCAGTTTTGTTTCTGGCCCCACCCACCACTGGCATGTGGCCCCAGAAAGATTGCCTAGAAGGGGATGTGGCCCTCGAGCTACAAATGGTGCCCCAGTCCTTTCACAGATGCTCTGAACACGGTCCTTTCGTGACCGGGAAGTTGACACCCAAATATCAGCTGCGCTGAATAGCATGGTAAGAGTTGGGTAGGTCTGGTGGTGTGATGCAAATGAGCCCAGGAGTTGTGAAGTATTGCCAGGACATTTCATAGGTGTTCTAGAGAGCCAGGCCAGTGGATGAGTCATCCTGAACAAATGGCAAGAGCTTACGTTTTACGTGCCAATATAAATAATTGCTTCCTATTTCATGAACCTCGATGGCATGCCATTAAGACGCTGGCTGAATTTTTCAGCTTGCAAGAGGTAAAATAGCTCTTTTTCCAAGTGCAAATAATTCTTATCATCCTCCATAATATAAAATATAGGGGAAATGTATATGTCTACAATGGGCCATCATTTTCTTCTGCACAATCAGGGCTTCAAAATTACGTACAGTGGTACCTCAGGTTAAGTACTTAATTCGTTCTGGAGGTCTGTACTTAACCTGAAACTGTTCTTAACCTGAAGCACCACTTTAGCTAATGGGGCCTTCTGCTGCCGTGCCGCTGGAGCACGATTTCTGTTCTCACCCTGAAGCAAAGTTCTTAACCCGAAGCACTATTTCTGGGTTAGCGGAGTCTATAACCTGAAGCGTATGTAACCTGAGGTACCACTGTACTTATTGTATTGCTTTATGGCTGCAGTCGTACACATGCTTACCTGGGACTTACTTCTGAGTAGACCTATCTAGGCTTGCGGTGCTAGAGCAAAGACTTCGGCATGCTTACTTAGATATAAGCTCCGCTGTGTTCGGTGGGGCTTGCTCCTTGGTAAGCATGCATAAGTTTGCAACTTACATTGCTTATATCCTAACCATCTTTAGCCAACAGAGCGAATGGCGAGAGCAAAGGTGAGATACAGATTTAATGGGTGGGGCGTTCACACTTTGCTCCTCAATTTCCACTGTCTTGAATCGTCTTTTAAGATGAAGACACATACCAAAGCAGACATCGTCACGTAATTTCAATTTGCTTCATCTATGTAAAAGCATTTTTATACCACTTCATATTTCAAAATATCCAAAGCGGTTTACAACTACCCGGAGCTGTTGGGGATTGAACCTGGGACCTTTTGCTTGCGGAACAAACGCTCTGCCGCTGGGCTGCGGCTGCCCACTCTCAAAGAGAAGGCTGTGCGCCCGCTTTTGACTGGCACTGTGGAACAGGAGCCTTGCAGCCGCTTAGGATTGCAAGCAAATGAAAATGAGTTTTCCCTCTTGCACAAACCCTCCTTTTACATGCATGCCTTTTGAACTGCTAGACATAATTCCTGTTTTGTTTTTAAAATTTTACTTTTTAAAGCATGCATCTGATCAAAAACTGTCTCCGTGCGTGTGTATATATTCTATATATATAAATATCTGGAAATTAGTTGCAGTCCTCAGGCAGGTTGGCAAGTCGCCAGGGCAACCCTGTGCTTTGCATTGACTTGAAAATGTCCCTTTTTAAGTACTTGCATATAGATGGGGGCCCCCTCCCTCCCCCCTTTCTTGCTGATTTACTTTCCTAATACAGACTTGAATCCTTCTCTGTGTCTTCCATTTGGCAGATGTTCAATTTAGAAAACTGGCAGCGGGCTCCAAGATTAACATTTTATCTTTTTTTTAGTCGGTCTCTGCCTGCCTGCCTGCCTTCCTCTCCCTTCCATGGGACCTGGGATTTGCCTGTGAAGAGTGGTGTGGGAAAATGCCCTTCGGGTGCCCCAGGGCATCGCTGGAGCACATCTGCTCCTTCTGAGCACCTGCTGAGGTCTTGAGAGGGGGGGAAAAACCAACCCCAAGCAGCTGGGTCTGGGATCAGCCTCTAATCCCAAGAGAGGAAGGCTGGAGACCACTCTCTCTGCTCATTAACGTTAGGCACTTTTGCAAATGCTTCCTTGGAATGAATGGCAGCTGGGAGTGTGGGATTGGGATTGGTTTTTTATATACTGCTTGACTGCAGAAAAACAACAACAACCTCAGGGCGGATTTACCCCCCCCCCCAAAAAGATGAAACAATAAACTTTTTGCTAAAACAGTCACAACCATACAGTGGTACCTTGGTTCTCAAACGCCTTGGTACTCAAACAACTTTACCCAAACACTGCAAACCCAGAAGTAAGCGTTCCGGTTTGCGAACTTTTTTTGGAAGTCGAACGTGCTCTGTTTTGAGTGTTGCGCTTCTGATTTGAGCGCCACGCTTCGGTTTTGAGTGTTAACACTGTGGTCTGTCTGTTTTTGCTATTTATTTTGCGTTTTGGTTTCTGTGGCTTTTTTTGTTTTGTTTTTGTGACTGTGTGGAACCCAGTTCAGCTACTGATTGATAGATTGTGTGACTGCAGTACATTGTTTATTGCTTTCATTTTATGCATCTGTGGTCTCATTAGATAGTAAAATTCATGTTAAACGGCTGTTTTAGGGGTTGTTTTTAAAAGCCTGGAATGGATTCATCCATTTTGTATTACAATGGACCCTCCAGTTATGTACCACTCTGGATCCATAACTTTTGGGTTATGAAAGCAGCAAACCCGGAAGTGTATACTTCCGGGTTTCGCTGCATGTGCAGAAGTGCTCTGCGCCCATGTGCAAAAGTGCTCAGTCGTGGCACATGTGTGTGCAGAAGCAGCGCCTCTGCCTATAGACTTTTTGGGTTGTGGACAGACCCCCAGAAAGAATTTAATTCGTATCCAGAGGGTCCACTGTACTTTCTATGGGAAAGTGCGCCTTGGTTTGGGAACACTTTAGTTTTGGAATGGACTTCCGGAACAGATTAAGTTTGAGAACCAAGCTACCACTGTAATTCGAAGCTTAAAACTGCAAAATAATAGACTAAAACAAATCAAAAGGGGAGGGGAGGACTAGTGGGTTGTTCTCGTTTTATTTTTATTATGTATTCTGTGTTTATATATTGGGATTTTATGTTGTAGGCGCCCCGAGACCAGCGGTACACAAATTTAAATGACAACAACAAAAAATCAAAGCTCCTACAAACTTTCTGAGCATCTGGGCAGGCATGTCTAAATATGAACTGCTTCAGCAATGGCCGAAAAGAAAGCAACGAAGGTTCCTGCCTGCTGTCAATTGGCAGGGAGTTCCAAAGTTGCCACACAAAACAATCGAGTTCTTACAGATGTGCAGGTAGTATGCGGAACCGCTGGCCTAAGGAGTCGACTGGGCATGCATGGTGCAAAGCGATCTCACGGGTTACATTTTAAAACATAACAAGGCTGTGTATGTAAAACATAACACGGCTGGTTATAAGGCCGTGTTCTGTGTTCTTAGACTCCCACTGTAGTGGTTTGGGAAAGAAGTGTCCTCCTCTCTTGCAATTTTACTTTTGCCCATGGAAGTAAAAAGCTATCTCTACTCTTTTACCTCAGTTGCTCAGCAGGAATAGATTTGTTCCCAGCCTCTTGGATTCTCACGGATGAATGGAAAGTTACTGGGATGACGGTCCTTTGCACTGGTGTTTGTTTGTCCCTTATTTCTCCCTGATTTTATTACAGAGTAAGTTAATTTTATCTTGTTTATTTAATAACTCTGTTTTTTGCAACAACGTTTTCTTCTTGTTGTTTTTTTGCGTCAGCATAATTCCACTGCCCCTCCCAGTGTGTCCTGAAGTCCTCCCCGCCCAAGAGAGATGTTGCCCACAGACCTCTCTCTCTTCCTGTGTAATGAATGAAGCATGTGTTGGGTTGCGTGCGTGTTTAAATAGTAAAGGACCAAATTGGCTCGGTTCCCCGTTAACATTTAACTTGTGCTCTGAGGCTTTCCATCTGCCGCAGGAATTTCTGAAATCGCTATGTTTCTCCTGCCTGATCCCTGGTTGCCCCAATGGTGGTTGTATGTCACGGGCTGGTTTGACGCAGAGGAATGGTGGAAGGAACCAGCTGGGGAACCCCTAAGAGAGGAAGGCTCAGAATCTGGGCAGTGGTAGTATGACGACCATGAGTGGTCAGAGGGAGAAGAGGAGGTGTCAGAAGCTAAAGAGGCAACAGGGCTTGGTGAGCAGGGAGAGTCTGTGGCAGAGAGCAGTCCAGAAGCTGAAGCTGAAGCAAGGGAGATGAGTCAGGTTGGTGAATAATAATAATAATAATAATAAAATTTATTTATACCCTGCCCTCCCCAGCCAAGACCGGGCTCAGGGCAGCTAACAAGCAATAATAAAAACAAGTTTGAATGAATACAACTGGAAAACAAGATTAAAACACAACATTAAAACATTGAAACATTAAACTCAGCCTCATCACAGGAGGAGAAAGGAAACAAGAAAGAGGGGGAGGGAATCAAATTGACTCCCAAGTCAAAGGCCAGGTGGAACAACTCTGTCTTACAGGCCCTGCGGAAAGAAATCAGATCCTTCAGGGCCCTGGTCTCATGAGGCAGAGTGTTCCACCAGGCCAGAGCCAGTGTTGAAAAAGCCCTGGCTCTGGTTGAGAAGAAGAACAGGGGTCTCCCGCTCCTGCTGTGACCAGCTCCCCTCCTGCCTGGTCTGCCAGGACCAGGAGAGGCATGAAGAGGGAGGAGGTAAGGCAGGCAATGCCAGCATAGTCTCAGATTGCTTGGGGGAAACCCAGGAGAGGAGTCGCCTTAGGCAGCTGTGGGAAGGCTCTTCAGACTCTGCAACTGCCTCATAGGGGCAGATCTATTGAAGAGGAGTTGCTGTGCACTTTAGACCTGGCAGACCTGAGCACATCCTGTTTCTTCTAATAAAGAAGTGGTGGCTTGCTTCTGACACCCCATTCATTTCAACGCAGCTTGCACAGGAGAAATCCCTGCTAGACCGTGCCCTAAGAGGTTGACTCTGCACATCCCACCAGCTGCATTGACGCCTTGTCCCTTCCAAGGACACAGTTCTGGATTTTGACCTTTAAAGTCCTAAACAGCTTGAGACCCACCCTGGTACCTTCAGGACTGCTTTCTCCCCGGTGAGCTTTCCGAGATGATTCTTAGAAGCCCTTCCCTGGGTTGTCCGGCTTCAGGAAGGGGCTGTGAGCCTGGGGATTGGTGGTGGGACAACAATGAGTGGTCAGAGGGAGAAGACTGAGAGGGGGTGGTGTTGGAAGCTGAAGAGGTCATAGGGCTTAGTCAGCTGGGAGAGTCTGCAGAAGAGAGAAGTCCAGAATCAGAGGCAGAAGCTGGAGCAGGAGAGGACGGAGGCCAAGAGGCAGAGATGGGTCAGTCTGGCAAAGAGGTGCAGGGGTGGGTCTCCCTCCTGCTGTGATAAGCTCCTCTCCCTCCTGGTCTCCCAGAACCAGGAGAGGCATGAAAAGGGCATAGGAGAGGTTGAATCATAGAATCATAGAGTTGGAAGAGACCACAAGGGCCATCGAGTCCAACCCCCTGCCAAGCAGGAAACACCATCAGAGCACTCCTGACATATGGTTGTCAAGCCTCTGCTTAAAGACCTCCAAAGAAGGAGACTCCACCACACTCCTTGGCAGCAAATTCCACTGTTGAACAGCTCTCACTGTCAGGAAGTTCTTCCTAATGTTTAGGTGGAATCTGCTTTCTTGTAGTTTGGATCCATTGCTCCGTGTCTGCTTCTCTGGAGCAGCAGAAAACAACCTTTCTCCCTCCTCTATGTGACATCCTTTTATATATTTGAACATGGCTATCATATCACCCCTTAACCTCCTCTTCTCCAGGCTAAACATGCCCAGCTCCCTTAGCCGTTCCTCATAAGGCATCGTTTCCAGGCCTTTGACCATTTTGCTTGCCCTCCTCTGGACACGTTCCAGTTTGTCAGTGTCCTTCTTGAACTGTGGTGCCCAGAACTGGACACAGTACTCCAGGTGAGGTCTGACCAGAGCAGAATACAGTGGCACTATTGAATGAAGGTTGGCTGCATGCAGGTGCAGTTGCCGGTTGTTCAGAAAAAAGCCCCAGAGACAGCGTTCGAAATTCGCAAGGTGTATTTTGCACCTGGCTATCAGCCGCTTGCGACCAAGCGAAGATGCCCAGGTGCCAGGATGGCGCTTGGCGTCTCCACCATCTGGAGGTGCGTGCCTGGGGATCCTTGGATCTTGACTGTTTTCACATACAGTGGTACATCGGGTTAAGAACTTAATTCGTTCTGGAAGTCCGTTCTTAACCTTAAACTGTTCTTAACCTGAAGCACCACTTTAGCTAATGGGGCCTCCTGCTGCCGCTGCGCGATTTCTGTTCTCATCCTGAAGCCAAGTTCTTAACCCGAGGTACTATTTCTGGGTTAGCGGAGTCTGTAACCTGAAGCGTATGTAACCTGAAGCGTATGTGACCCGAGGTACCACTGTAAAAAAGCAAGGCAGATTGTCATAAAAGCCGCTAGCCATTCGAAAAAGCGATAGGTAAACAGCTGCAAAGGCCTGTTGGCATAAAACGATCTTTAAGAGATTCCCAAGAGTCAGAAAAGCTTGTTTGTGACATTTACACATTACGTGCGTGCGTACTTAAAAATATATTTTACAGTGTAATGTAAATGAAGCAGTTCTGAGTATTTATTAGATGGGCAGCTATCTCCTTTTGCAAGATGTGTGCAGGCAAGAAGCTAGATGTTTTGCATCATCACAGGAACTGACCCAAGGTGGGGAGTGGTGATATGACATAGGGAACTACCCTCCCTCCCTCAGTGAGTCACCTCATGTCTTGCTTCTGCTTGCGAGTGACTTCCTGTTTCTCTGCCCTTCTGTATAAAAGCGAAAACGCCAGATTGCCCCTGCCTTGGAAAAATGGCAAGAGCAGAGCGGCAGAGGCCTTGAAAATATGGGGAGGCCCCGCAGAAGCCTCAAGAAGGTCGCTAGGAAGGAAGGCATGGACTACCTCTGTTCACAGGAAGCCGAGGTGAGGGGCAGAACTTAGGTGCACAGGTGAGGCCACCGGTGGCTGAGGTTTAAGGGTGGTGTAGCAGTTAGAGCGATGGACTGGGTTCAAATCCTTAACAGAGCCACGAAGCTCACTGGGTGGCCTTGAGCCAGTTGTTCAGCCTCGGCCCAGTCCTACTTCTAATAATAATAATAATAATAATAATAATAATAATAATTCATTATTTATACCCCGCCCATCTGGCTGGGTTTCCCCAGCCATTCTGGGCAGCTTCCAACAAAACACTAAAATACAATAACCTATTACACATTAAAAGCTTCCCTAAACAGGGCTGCCTTCAGATGTCTTCTAAAAGTTTGGTAGTTATTTTTCTCTTTGACATCTGGTGGGAGGGCATTCCACAGGGCCGGTGCCACTACCGAGAAGGCCCTCTTCCTGGTTCCTTGTAACTTGGCTTCTCGCAGCGAAGGAACCACCAGAAGGCCCTCGATGCTGGATCTCAGTGTCCGGGCTGGATGATGGGGGTGGAGACGCTCCTTCAGGTATCCTGGACCTCAAAGGGTTGTCGTGAGGACGAAACGAGGAGTAGGAGAGGAACTGCATACACCACCTTAAGCTCCTTGCAAGAAAGGCGTGGGGTATAAAATGCAGCAATAAAACAAATAATTCCTGGTGAGCTGTTGCCGGGTCAGTGTAGACAACACTGAATTAAAGGTCCCCTTCCAGCGCTACAATTCTAAGATTCTGTGACCCACAAATTCCCGACTCCCGCTGCGTTGGCTGGAAGAGGAGAAGGCAAGGCTGCCTTAGATCATTCGACAGATACATTTGCAAACCACAATGGAGGCGTCAGGGAGTTTTTGGCTCTTTTCTGGTTTCATTTGTGGTGTTCTGTCAACTCCAAAAAGAACCAGTCTGGTCAAATAATAATAATAAAAAAAGCCCAAAACTAGCCCAGGTTCCTTTTATGCTGCGAAACAAAACAGCGGGGTGGGAAGTTCCCTTATTTCCCTTTGTTTCCAACCGAAGTCACGCCATGGAATGAACCAAAGGGAATCCTCTTCCCTGTTTCATCATCAGGGAAACTTAATCATTACTTTCTGTGTTTGCAGTTTTAGAGTGCTACTCTCTTTTTTTAAAAAAGTCAGTTTTATTAAATTTTCCACTTTAACAATCCAATCCAATCACATTAAATATTCCACATTATACATATGTTGTTGTTGTTTAGTCGTGTCCACCTCTTCGTGACCCCATGGACCAGAGCACACCAGGCACTCCTGTCTTCCACTGCCTCCCGCAGTTTGGTCAAACTCATGCTGGTAGCTTCAAGAACACTATCCAACCATCTCGTCCTCTGTCGTCCCCTTCTCCTTGTGCCCTCCATTTTTCCCAATATCAGGGTCTTTTCCAGGGAGTCTTCTCTTCTCATGAGGTGGCCAAAGTCTTGGAGCCTCAGCTTCAGGATCTGTCCTTCCAGTGAGCACTCAGGGCTGATTTCCTTCAGAATGGATCACTTTGATCTTCTTGCAGTCCATGGGACTCTCAAGAGTCTCCTCCAGCACCATCATTCAAAAGCATCAATTCTTCGGCGATCAGCCTTCTTTATGGTCTGGCTCTCACTTCCATACATCACTACTGGGAAAACCATAGCTTTTACTATACGGACCTTTACATATCAAATAATCCGAATATTCTGCCAAATTATAAATTTTTAATAGGACTTCCCATGCTTCAAGTTCGGAACTGGAGTGCTACTCTCAAGTGTCCTCTTGAGCAACCAGGCTCCCCAACTTGCAACGTACTGGGTCAGCTGCTTAGAAAAGCAGCTTTGTGGGGAGCAAACTGACCCCCCTCCCCCCAAAAGCTCAATATGCTAAGAGGAAGTTTCAATCTGAACACAGCTGGATAGTAGACTCCCTGCTTAGAAACCAGTCCATCTCTGCATATGTCTGTTTGGAACATGTGGAATGGGGTGGGGTTAGGGCAGCCCCAGCCGGCCCACGGCCTGCTTGCAGATGTCCAGGATCTTGTTTGCCAAAAAGCCTACAGTGCAATTCTGCCTTGCAAAAATGGGTCATCCTAGTGCAATCCCCTCGCGATGCAGGAATCTCAGCTAAAGCATCCAGGACAGATGGCCATCCAACTTCTGCTTAAAAACCTCCAAGGAAGGAGTCCACAACCTCCAGAGGGAGACCGTTCCACCTTCAAAACAGCTCTCACTGTCAGAAAGCTCCTCCTGATGTTTAGTCAAAATCTCCTTTCAATTCAATTCAAGTCCCACCTTCCAGAGCTGGAGAAAACAAGCTTGTTCCTTGTTTGAGTGTGGTGGCACCATATTTTGGGACTGCCTGTGTTATCCACACCAGGCAGGCTCCTTCCCTCCTCTTAAAACGTCGAGAGAAGTTGGGTTTGTTTTATTTCTTTTCAGCTACAGTAGATTTGTATTATCTCTTGGATCATTTGGTAATTTTTAAAAAATCAGTAGTTTAAATGCTTTGCGTTTGCGCACGCGTAAACCGCTTGGATGCAGGGGTCAGCAAACTTTTTCAGCAGGGGGCCGGTCCACTGTCCCTCAGACCTTGTGGGGGGCCGGACTATATTTTGAAAAAATATATGAGCGAATTCCTATGCCCCACAAATAACCCAGAGATGCATTTTAAATAAAAGTACACATTCTGCTCATGTAAAAACACCAGGCAGGCCCCACGAATAACCCAGAGATGCATTTTAAATAAAAGGACACAATTCTACTCAGGTAAAAACATGCTGATTCCCAAACTGTCTGCAGGCCGTATTTAGAAGGCGATTGGGCTGGATCCGGCCCCCGGGCCTTAGTTTCCGTACCCACGGCTTAGAGGTTTTCTCGCAATCAAGAAAATGCAGTTTTTTAAAAGTGTAATAAATCTAGTCCCACATCCCTTTCTCAGGGGACCCACCAGATGACACTGGGTAGCCCACAAGCAAGATTTAGCACTCTCTTCTATTTGTGATCCACAGAAATTGGTCCTCAGAGCTTAAAGGCACATGTTTAATTATATGCAATTTGGCCTTTGTGCAAATCAGTTCTCAGGGTTTTTGGCTTATGAAGTTGCTGGACTGTTAAGATCTTCTGCAGACGCATATCTTAAAAGTCCCTTGCTGCAGTCGCTTAGGGCAGGGATGGGGAGCCTTTGTCCTCCAGATGTTGCTAAAACTGAACTCCCATCAACCCAAGCCGCCCTTGCAAGTGGTCAGCAACATCTGGAAGACCACACCCTGACCTATGGCCATTTTAAAAAGTCTTGTCTCTACAAGATTAATTTGGTGTATAAAGATTTCTCTCAACGAACTTTGTGGAGATTGAAAGTTTTGTCTGGCAATGTTGTTGTTGTTGTTGTTGTTATTATTGTTGTGCTAGAATTGTCGAGCCCAATTCAAAATGTTGGTGCTGACCATTCAAGCTGCGGTCCAGTATACCTGAAGGAGCGTCTCCACCCCCCTCATTTAGCCCAGACACTGAGGTCCAGCTCCAAGGGCCTTCTGGCAGTTCCCTCCCTGCAAGAAGTGAGGTTACAGGGAACCAGAGGGCCTTCTCGGTGGTGGCGCCCGCCCTGTGGAATGCCCTCCCATCAGATGTCAAAGAAATAAACAACCATTTGACATTTAGAAGACACCTGAAGGCAGCTCTGTTTAGGGAAGTTTTTAATGACCGATGTTTTAATATATTTTTAATCTTTGGTTGGAAGCCGCCCAGAGTGGCTGGCGGAGTAGAAATAATAAATTATTATTACAGTGGTATCTCGGGTTAAGAACTTAATTCGTTCTGGAGGTCCGTTCTTAACCTGAAACTGTTCTTAATCTGAAGCACCACTTTAGCTAATGGGGCCTCCCACTGCCGCCCGGCGATTTCTCTTCTCATCCTGAAGCAAAGTTCTTAACCCGAGGTACTATTTCTGGGTTAGCGGAGTCTCTAACCTGAAGCGTCTGTAACCTGAAGCGTCTGTAACCCGAGGTACCACTGTACTATTATTATTAGTTTGTTTCCAGTGCCGACTTTCATCATTTTGTGCTTGCCTGAAAGCAGGCAGAGAGAACGCCGTTTAGATCCTACAGGTGCACCCGGGCTGTTTGTGAATCTCACAATTGCAAGCTTTGTCAGCAGCTTGACCAAAGAGCTGGCCAACTTCCTAGCGTCCGATTTCGCAACCTGGCAGAAGCTTTTCCAAGCTGAACATGATTTCCCACGGACCTTGGCCTGCAGCCACGGGTTCCTTTTAACCAGAGTATATTTATTGCATTGGGGGGAGGGAGGCAGGGAGTGCATGTGGTGAGCAACTGCTGGGGGGCATGGATGGGGGTCCGGCGAGGGGCAAGCAGCCGACCTGGATGGCCTTCTTGTCATGGATGCTTTAGTTGAGATTCCTGCATTGCACGGGGTTGGACTAGATGACCCCTGGGGTCCCTTCCAACCAGGGTGGATAAAAATCAAATATTAAGATTTTTTAAATTTCAAATTGGATTTTTAAAATAAAATGCTTTTGTAGGAAAAACCTTTTTGATGATACTTTTCTATTTAAGTTACATTATAGTCCAAAGGCTATTCATCAGGAAATAAGGATTTTTCATGTGAGCTAAAACTCAGTCTAAGTAACCACATCACTTAACAAACATGGATACATATACTATAGCGTTACTGTTTTAGTTAAATAAATGGTTTAAATTGTTATTAAGGAAATGATTCTTTTTCTCCTTCCAATAAAGTACAGCAGAAAAGTTGTCCAAATATAAACAGTTAACTTATTAAACCTCACAATAATTTCATAATTGTCTTGTCTATGTATTTCTAATAGTATAACCAAATCAGTAATTTTTGATTTAACTGTAAAAACTACTCTGAACATTTATTATTCCAAAAATGAAACCTTCCCCTGGTTGTAAATATTAAGATTATACCAGCAAGAACGAGTCTGTAAAAAAAATATGATTTAAATCAAGTCTTACTGACTAGTGATTTCAATCATGATTTGAATCGATTTGATTTAAATCAAATCCACTCTGCAGTTCCATGATTCCATGACTGCTGAGTTGCTGTTGCTTATAGAGAAGGAAAGGGATGAGGCATTGGGGAGGTCAGTGCAGTGCAGACACACTGGCAGAGCTATTGCAGGACTCCTGCTGACGTGTTTGCGCTGCGCCCAGCTCCCCCCAACCCTCTGCGTCCCAGCAAGCAGCAGTGACTTGGCTGCTGGGAGGTCAGGTGAGCGCCACCACCTGGAGTCTGGGGGCCAGCTTTAAGCTGACTTCCTGAACAGACCCAAATGGTTTTATACAACTTAAATTAGCGATCGGGAGCCAGTGCCCTCTCCGTTGTGGCTGGACTGCAGTTCCCATCATCCCCGGAAAAGGGCCACAGGGCACAATGGGTCAGTACGTCTGGCTGTTAACCAGAAGGCCGGTGGTTCGAACCCAACCAAGGGATGACAATGGACAGGGTTCCAGCCTTCCAGGGGGTTGGACTAGATGACCCTTGGTGTCCCTTCCAACTTTCCAATTCTGTGATATTTAAGTTCTCCAGCCCTGTTGGAAGACCTAAGGACACAGACTTGTTGAAAAACTCTGCTAAGGTGTTTTTAAGCCAGAAAGTATATCTGTCCAAAGTTCACTTAGTTTGGGGAATGATGGAGATATGTGGAAAAACAGGAATCCTGTATCAGTGTCTCCCACCCCCTTCCGTTACTATAAAGGAATGTCCAGGGGTGATGGATGTAAAAGTCCTATTTCAGATGGAGCAAGTGTACAGTAAGGCTGGTGCAATGTTGAGAAACTCCAGGGCTCGCAAAGTGGAATCGGAAACCGTGGCTTGAAGTGGGTGTGCAAACCATGGTTTGCGCTACAGATGGTTTGTTGTGATGCCTGAATAGAGAAAAACCACAGTTCACTGTTGCCGTTTCCTCTCTAGACGCCGGAACATAGTGGAGGAGACAGGAGCAGGTGCAGAAAGTGTGGCGAGAACGTAGAAACTACCGATGAAACTACACCTGAAAGCAGACACACACCTTCAAAACTTGATTTGCCAGTTGTCGATTTGGAAGGTTGCGCTGCTTTTTGGCACAGGGACTGAGCTGAGCCTCTTTCTAAGTCAGGGGCAAAGTCCCTCTTTGCATGTAGGGATTTAAGAGCAGAAACTCCGTTCAGCTGGAGCAAGCTGGTCTCAAAACGCTGGAAAAACAAGCTTCCTCCTTTGAACAGTTTTGCTGCTCTTCTAGAATCCTGCTTTTTTGGCCAGACCTGAAGCTCAACTCTCTCATCTCATGGAATATTCCACATGCTGACATTCGAGGCTGCGTTCCAGCTGGCTGCTCTTAGCAATTTCAGATTGGAAAGGGGGGGTGGCATTTTCAGGGAGGTGTGCCCGGGCTCTTAAATGCACAGAAAAAGTTTCCGTGCCAAAGCAGTATAGCGTAGCACTTGTTGCTGACCAGTCTGCAGGTACGAGGCAGAATCCAAATCTGGGCACGGCAGATTGTGTACTTAGGTGTCATAATTTCAGTCGACTGACTTCCACACTTTATGTCGGGACTTTCCACTGACAAATGAAGAAAAGCAGAGGTGAAAACAAGGCTTGGCCTTCCTTTGGACCCGTGTGCATCAATTTAGAGCTTGCAGGACCCAGAGTCTTGCCGGCCTGGGCTTCCCCATTCATTTCAATGGAAGATCCAGCACTGCCCAGGTATCCTCTTGCGTTTACTGAATGGTCACATCCTCTGGATTCCTCCCCCCCACTTTACTGTGTTTGCTAGCTGTTTTTCTACTTAAAAGCACCTCAACTGACATGCAGTTAACAATGAATGAAATGTAAATGGTGCATCATTTTTTAGAAACACTATTTTAAAACACAAAAGGAAAAAAACCCCCACCGAAACCTTGGGAAGAGCCATAGATAGCTCAGTGATAGAGCGCCTGAATTGCATGCAGAAATTTGCAGTGCATTGCATGTGAGCCAGAAACCAGAGCTTTTGTAATAAGTTTGGCTACTTATTGGGGTGCCCAAACTACGTGCCCATTGCATCTCTTAAAAGAATTCAAGGTTTTGCAGACAGCTTACCCAAAGATGTGTCTTCTTCCTATTTGATGACTTCAGTTGGCTGTTCAATACATGCTTATGCAACCAGACCTTCTGTTTTTAGTTCCAGAATTTGGCGTTGATGGTTTTACATTGCCTGGCTCACCTGTTGGCATTTCGCGATAGATTTGATTGATATTCTGACTTGCCTTTTGTTTCTGTATTTGCCTGTACGCCGCTTTGTAAAATAAAAGGAGGTATAAAATGCACAAGTAAACTATTTGCAGATGCAGCTCTCAATAGTTCAAATATTGTTAAAACTGTTGGGTGTCAGAAACCTTTGCCGGCTAGCTGCAAGTCATCCAGAAATCTACCAGTAGGACCAGATCAATGATTTTGGCCCACCAGTAACTTTCTGCTATGTTCTTTTTCTTCGCAGGTAGCTGTATCCAGTTGGGTGGCCGGCAGTCCCTCGGGGTACCATGAAGTTTTCGGGACCCCTGGAGAGCCAGAGGTTGAGTCTCCTTCTGGAGACGGCAATCTCTAGGGAAGCTCAGATATGGAAAGTGCACCTGCGCAGAATTCAGCCCAGTCAGGTAAAGTTGAGTGGGTTGATTTGTCGGTTAAGCGCAGGGTTTTCCAAACCGATTGAGTTCACTGACCCCCTTCATGAGCTTGCAAAGTTGTCCTCAACCCCAGTGCAAATTCACAGGCATTGGAAGTGAAATGAAGCCAAGAAATACCTATATATAAGCAACACTTCTTAATCATCGATCACCATTACTAGAAATCCTAAAATGTGAAAAATATGGACTGTCGTTGTACCTTGCTGGGAGGGGAGGTGCATTCTGTTTTTCTGAGGCTCATAGTTCCTTATTAATTTGTTCACACTACACCTGAAGGAGCGTCTCCACCCCCATCGCTCAGCCCTGACACTTGAGGTCCACCTCCGAGGGTCTTCTGGTGGTTCCCTCCCTGCGAGAAGTGAGGTTACAGGGAACCAGGCAGAGGGCCTTCTCGGTAGTGGGGCCCGCCCTGTGGAACGCCCTCCCATCAGATGTAACGGAAATAAACAACTATCTGACTTTTAGAAGACATCTGAAGGCAGCCCTGTTTAGGGAAGTTTTTAATGTTTGATGTTTTATTATATTTTTAATACAGTCATGCCTTGGAAGCCAAATGGAACACGTTCTGGAAGTCCATTTGACTTCCAAAATGTTCGACTTCCAAGGTGCGCCTTCTGATTGGCTGCAGGAGCTTACAAAAGAACGTTCACAAACTGGAACACTCACTTCCAGGTTTGCGGCCAAACTCCAGGTTCGGGAGCCAAAACGTTTGACTGCTAAGGTGTTCGTTAACCAAGGTACGACTGTATTTTGTTGGAAGCCGCCCAGAGTGGCTGGGGAAACCCAGCCAGATGGGTGGGGTAGGTGGGGTATAAATAAATATTATTAATATTCACACTATACATAGGAAGCATTTTCCCCACCCCAAGCCCTTTTTGATCCTAGCCTTTATTCACCCCATATAAGGGGGGAGAGGGTCAATATTAACTACTTTGGGAAACCCTGATATCAGGAATCTTCAGGAACCACCCCACATTTTCAAGAGACTGGGGATGGCCTTTAACTTTGCTTCTTTTCAAGTAGCTCCACCCATTCAATCAAGAGATCCATTTATTTATATTGAGGTGGGACTGTGACGTTTAATTCATCTGCATGAGTAATGCTTTGTTTGGGGAGAGGATGCACAGCACAAAGAACAGGCTGTGCTGTGCGGCTACAGTTGTTAAAACATTCCTGCAAGGAGCACACATGTGGAACAGCCTAATTGATGTTGACTCCCATATTTATTGGATTACTAAAATTCACACTTAAGGAGTTGACCGCTGCTGGGCAACACTTTTGGGAAATGCCTTATGCTCGATTTCTGTGGCTGCCTAAAGGCTCCTGGTATTTTGCAGGACAGATTAAAGCACATAGCTGGAATTTAGGTTTGTGCAATTAAAGTGGATTAGGGCGATCTGGTGCCCTACCGCAATGAATCCACTTTCTACCCTGATACGAGAGTCCACGAAAATGTCTTGGGAGGACATGGCTTGCCAAAGGCTCCGTTGACTTAGTAAGATTTGCCCAAAGGCTCAGGAGACACCTGCAACATACATTTAAAATACTCGTCTACTGCTCCAAACAGTCATGGTTTCACCCCAAGAATGCTGGGAACTGTAGTTTGTTCAGGCTGCTTGGGAGTTCTTAGGATACCTCTATTCCTCCCCTGAGCTGCAGTTCCCAGAGTTCTCTGTGAGGAGATCTGGGGTCTCAGCACCCCCAGCAAACTACAGTTCCCAGGATATATATTTTTTTTGCGGAAAGTCATGACGGTTCAATGTATTTTTAAATGCATAGTGCAGAAGGGGCCAAAATTTGATGAGAGCATCTGGAGGAAGACTTAGGACGAGGCACAATAAGGTGTTGTTGGCAACAGCTGGATCTGTTCATTGCTTTAGGCCTTGTGGAGAAGGGCATCATGATACAGTGGTGCCCCGCAAGACGAATGCCTTGCAAGACGGAAAACCCGCTAGACGAAAGGGTTTTCCGTTTTTGAGTTGCTTCGCGGACGAATTTCCCTATGGGCTTGCTTCGCAAGATGAAAATGTCTTGCGAGTCTTGAGATTTTTTTTCGCTCCCCCCCCTTTTTCTAAGCCGCTAAGCCTTTAATAGCCTTTTAGCAGCTAATCCGCTAAGCCAATAAGCCTTTGATAGCCGCTAAACCGCTAATAGCGCTAAGCCGCTAATAGGGTTGCTTCGCAAGACGAAAAAACCGCTAGACGAAGACACTCGAGGAACGGATTAATTTCGTCTTGCGAGGCACCACTGTAGATGGTTGTTGTTTAGTCGTGTTCGCCTCTTCGTGACCCCATGGACCAGAGCACGCCAGGCACTCCTGTCTTCCACTGCCTCCCGCAGTTTGGTCAAACTCATGTTTGTAGCTTCGAGAACACTGTCCAACCATCTCGTCCTCTGTCGTCCCCTTCTCCTTGTGCCTTCCATCTTTCCCAACATCACGGTCTTTTCCAGGGAGTCATCTCTTCTCATGAGGTGGCCAAAGTATTGGAGCCTCAGCTTCAGGATCTGTCCTTCCAGTGAGCGCTCAGGGCTGATTTCCTTCAGAATGGATAGGTTTGATTTTCTTGCAGTCCATGGGACTCTCAAGAGTCTCCTCCAGCACCGTAATTTAAAAGCATCCATTCTTCAGTGATCAGCCTTCTTCATGGTCCAGCTCTCACTTCCATACATCACTACTGGGAAAACCATAGCTTTAACTATACGGACCTTTGTTGGCAAGGTGATGTCTCTGCTTTTTAAGATGCCATGATATATTATTCACTATATTAAATCTGTGGTGTGGCTGTGGCCTTGCATAGCTCAGTCCCATAACCACTGCATTGTATAAGCTGTCAGATTTGCAATGGGAGGAGCGTGTTTCCATTCGCCCACATGGTATCTATGGCAACCGAGGGATGCTTTCATCTGTGTTCCAGCAGCAGTACATAGGTTTAATTATTATGGTCTTGCATCCCAAGCCATAGGCATTTTGCTGGCATGGGTTCCGTGTCAAACACTTTAAATTGTTGCCGGGACAGATTGTCCCTTTCAAAAATTATGTCGAGCCGGTCATTGTCAAGCCACAGAGCCAAGCTTGTTCGTTTCCACCTTTTGCAGAACAGAATCCTTTGTGGTTTCATATTTGCATTCAGGTCGATTAGTTTGGGATTGCCGTTGGCTAGCTGTCAGGCATAAAAAAAAAACACCAAACCCATGTGGGTGTGACTAAGGTAAAGGGACCCCTGACCATTAGGTCCAGTTGTGGCTGCCTCTGGGGTTGCGGCGCTCATCTCGCTTTATTGGCCGAGGGAGCTGGCGTACAGCTTCCGGGTCATGCGGCCAGCATGGCTAAGCCGCTTCTGACGAACCAGAGCAGCGCACGGAAATGCCATTTACCTTCCCGCCGGAGTGGTACCTATTCATCTACTTGCACTTTGATGTGCTTTTGAAGTGCTAGGTTGGCAGGAGCAGGGACCGAGCAATGGGAACTAACTCCGTCACGAGATAAAGCGAGATGAGCGCCGCAACCCCAGAGTTGGCCATGACTGGACCTAATGGTCAGGGGTCCCTTTACCTTTACCTTTAATACTGCTTGAAGTGTTTATAGCAGATGGGGCTGAGTCGTGTTAAGGGAACGGCAATGTTCAGTCTGCACCGCCAGCGATATCTCTCCAGGATCTAATGCAGAGGACTTTCTTAGAGTGCCAACTACATGGAGGTGCAAGGCTTTGAACTTTGTGCCTGATAGGTGTCGTGTCGATTGTAGCTCCCTTTAAAAGGGGGGGGGGGAGGAGAGACAGAGAAATCTCTATATAAGCATTTTAACGGGACACCAACTTAGGACCTGAAAGTTTCCACTTAAGTAAGTCTGCTTCCTCCTACTCACTAGGTCAGCATCTGCGCTTGGAAGCAACTTGCATTTATTTTTAACACCGTGTTTCCACTGGATTATCAGGTTCTTTCCTGCGTTAGCGTTAAGTTGTTTGGCATTGATTCAGACTGGGCTTTTAGAAGCTGAAATTCTGATAAATTGCTTTGAGCCAAATATGTAATGTAAGTTTTTTGTTTTGTTTTTTAAAGGACACGTTTTAAAGTGGTTAGGATTTCTGAGTGCATTTCATGGGGGGGCTGGGGGGGGGAAGCAGTGGGGGCCTGAGGCAAAAAAATACCAAATATGTCACCACAGAGAAATATATTTGAGTGTTTGTCAATCCTGGGTTTATTGCAGCGATATAAAATCATTTGTTTTGGAAACGGCACGCATTTAGAATATATCACAAGGGACTCTGGACTTTTCTGTTGAAACAAGGTACTTCAGCTTAGTGCTAGATACTGATTTTTTATTTTCCCAGTCAAAGGTCAACAGTCTCCTAACTAACTAATCTGAAGATACCGTATTTATTAACACTCTCTCAGTTCATTGCACTAGGAAACTGTGTCCTGTTAACACTGTGCTTACTGCTGCAAATGTCCCGATCATTGACAGGGCATTTGCAAGGCTGTGCCTGCTGTAAAAGGGAAATTCTCTGCCCAAGGTGACTTTAAAATTCTGCAATAAAAAAGCTGGTACCAACTTGAAGGTAATTGTCTTGGGTGGCAATCCTATACACATAAGAATATAAGATTAGCCCGGTGGATCAGGCCAGTGGCTCATTTGGTCATAGAATCATAGAACTGGAAAGGAATCTCAGCTAAAGCATCCCTGACAGATGGCCATCCAACCCTTGCTTAAAAACCTCCAAGGAAGGAGAGTCCACCATCTCCCAAGGGAGACCGTTCCCACTGTCAGGCAGCTCTTACTGTCAAAAAAGTTCTTCCTGATGTTGAGCAAGAATCTCCTTTCTTGTAACTTGAAGCCATTGGTTCGAGTCCCACCCTGCAGAGCAGGAGAAAACAAGCTTGCTCCATCTTCCATGTGACAGCCTTTGAGATATTTGAAGATGGCTATCATATCTCCTCCCGGTTTCCTCTATTACAGGCTAAACGTACTTAGCTCCTTCAACCGTTCCTCGTAAGGCCTGGTTTCCAGACTCATGAACAACTTGCTTGCCCTCCTCTGCACACGTTCCTGCTTGTCAATATCCTTCTGAAATTGTGGCGCCCAGAACTGGGCACAATACTTCAGAAGGATGCCAGCAACAGTTGTGTTTGGGTTTGAATTCCATTTCCACAGAATTCAGTTTGTGATACTACAAAATGCAGTGTAAGAAGTTCATAAAGCAAGAAAAAGACGAGTGAAAATCAATACAAAATATTTAACGCGATGGATGGGCTACCGCCCATCTTCAAACACAAATCCACAGACACATCGTTCAGGACCACCTGAATGAAACCCATGCGCCACAAGTGCAAGCACATCGCTTCCCCAGAATATACTTCTACAGTGGGACCTCTGGTTGCGGACAGGATCCGTTCTGGAGGTCCGGTCGGATCCCCGGGTTTCCGCAACCTGAGGACCGCTTCTGTGCATGCATGCGTGGCGGAACCTGGTCAAATACTTCTGGGTTTACCGCTTTCAGATCCTGAAGTTTACGTAACCAGAGGGTTACGTAACGGAAGCTACTACTGTATTAGGTATGTGTGGACAATCCAAGACCTAAACAAGAAAGATAGAAAGAGAATTCTAACTGGTTGCCTGGAGGAGATCTTGACTTGCCATTGGCGACCTGGTGTGCGTGTGTTGTATTGTTTTTATTTACAAGCCTGCATTAGACACAGTGGACGCTGGGGTTGTGAACGTGATCTGTACGGGATGCACGTTTGCAACCTGCAGCGTTCGTAACCCACAGCGTTGCATCTGCGCATGCGTGGGTTGCGATTTGGTGCTTCTGCACATGCACAAAGCGTGATTTAGCATTCCGTACTTCCGGGTTTCGGCGGGTCTGTAGCCTGAAAAAACACAACCTGAAGCGTCTGTAACCCAAGGTATGACTGTACTGGAGAATGAATATGGGTGATTGGGAGCTAGTTAGCCAGCCAGCTGCCTTCTCCCCTTTGGCATAGCTGTTCTTGAAGAAGCTCTCGCCTTGGCTCAAGGCCCAGGCAGGTTTCCTGTGTGCTGGCATCCGGACAGCGTGCAGGGATTGCCACCAGCATAACACACATACCACGGATTATCCTGGATTTCCGGGCCCCGCTGGTGCAGATCTAAGGAGTCTGGGTGGCAGGAAGGGCCAAGGGTCTCCGAGGCAGCTGTTAAAACTATGACCCCGAGGTGCAGGAGAGTTGCATCAGGTTCCAATTGTTCATTTAAAAAAAATGGGGTAGCAGTTAACACAGAGGGATGTTAGTACAGTCATACCTCATGTTACAGATGCTTCAGGTTATGTCTTTTCAGGCTGTGTCCTGCGGCGACCTGGAAGTACCGGAAAGGGTTACTTCCGGGTTTCGCCGCATGCGCACATGCGCCAGATTGAGCTGCGCACCTGCGCAGATACGGCGCTTCAGGTTGCGCTCTTTTCAGGTTGCGAATGGGCCTCCGGAATGGATCCTGTTCGCATCCACAGGTACCACTGTACAGGAAAAAGAAGTGGGGTGCCCAGGCTGCGGAGCGGCCGGTCAGAACATCTCCCTCTCTTGGCTGTGTGTACCTCAGACACGTGTGCAAGCACCTATGGTCTGGAAGCCTCCTGTCTAGATTACTGCAGCGCCTTGTACAAGGGGCTGCCTTTGAAAAGGTTTCAGAATCTGCAGCTGGTTCAGAGTCGGGCTGCAAGAGGGTCAGCTGACTGGGTGATTTGGGTGGAGGGGCTGAACAATGAGTACGATTGGGGGCTTTTCACCCCTGGGCAATCCTGAAAACATTTTTCTTTTTTTTTCTTTTTGCAGCTGCTGAGCCATCTGGTTTAGTGCAAACCCGGCTTTTGCAGAGAGCCAGATGGGGACACTTGGAAATGCAAAAACGGTTTTGCAAAGTCCCGTTTCTGGATCCGTGCCACCTTTGCTATATGCTCAAGCTCATCCTTTAAGCAGCTTGAAACCCTTTTAACCTCCCTGCACACCAGACTGCACAAACCTGGTTATAGTTATGTAATCGTATGCAGGGTGAAATTCTGCTGTTCCTCAGGCTGGTGTGGTGGGTGCGTTCATGTTGCCAAAGAACAGGAAGTGCATAATAACCCCCTCCAAGAAAAGGGGGATTGTGTGTGTGTGTGTATGCATGCATATTTATAAATAATTGCTATAATTTTAATAGAAATACAATAGATTTCACCGTAGCAGGGAAGGCTGTAGCTTGGACCATAGATCCGTGGTAGAGCATCTATTCTGCCTGCCTGAAGTCCCAGCTTCAACCACCAGCATCTCCCAAGTTGGGATGGGAATATCGCCTGCCCGAAACCCTGGAGAGCCACAGGGTTATGCTATGCTATGCTAAAAGGACCAAATAGTGTGGGTTGGATTAAGGCAGCTGGCCTAGTTCCTGTGTTGACCAAGTGACCTGTGTGGCTCAGTGCTAGAAACCTAATCAGGGAAATGGCTGGATGCTCTGTTAGCATTTCATGCCTCCGGTGCAGCAGATGTGATGGGTGTAATTCACATGCCCGCCTGGGAAGAGCGTGGGAGCGGAAGACAGCCTCATCTCTTTTGGACTGTACTTTTGCTTTTACTCTGTCCTGTGTTCTCTCGGAGCTGGAGAGAGAGGACATAGTGTGTCCGTACATAGTGTGTAAATAAATACGTAGTTTAGCTCTGTGATGTTTCACGCTTCTTGCGGTGTTATGCTAGAAGATTAGTGTGCATATATCATTTGATATCTGTCGCTGAAGCGCACTGGAGAAGAAGGGAAATGCCTTTTCCAGAGATGCGCATACCGGAGGACGCTCAGAGTTCGGGGGGCTCCAGGAGCACCCCCAGGGCATTTTTCCAACATGCTCATGATGATGAGAGCCAGCATTGAGTTTTACTTATGGAATTCAATTATAGGTGTGCACTTGCTTTTCTGCCAAGATTTGTATACCGTACTTTTCCATGCATTGTACGAGGTTTTTTTTACTACAAAATAAAGAAAAACATGGGGGAGGGTCATCTTATACATGGGTAGTGCAGAGGGGGGATGGGCGATTGGTTGCACCCGCGAGCAGGATCTAGCGATTGGGTGGGTGAATGGTGTCTGCTGCAAGGGCTGCTTTGGATTGGCTGCTGCTTCGGCAGTTAGGCTTGCGTCGCTTGCGATTGTTAGCATTTGCCAGTTGGGTGAGTGATATTCGGTTCGGCACCCCCACAGCCCAAATTTTCTTAACAACGGTGGGTGCCCCCCACCCCCAAAAAAGCTCAACAACTCTGTGCCATCTCCCTCCATTTTCTTAAATTTGAGCCCCCCAAAATAGACGGAAAAGTACGGTACTTGCTAATGGGTGGAGTGGGGTAGCAGTTCTCCTACAGTCTCTGAATGCTTTAATACAATTTGGAATATCACAACTGCCCGAATTAATGTGCTATAAAAGAAAGACAGGTATAAAAACAGGTGCTATTAAAGAAACATATAACGAAAAGCAGGCGAACAAACTTCCAGAGAAACAAATTCTGTTTGTGATGTTCTGGAATAACAAGTTTCGGGACAGTATTCAAACTTAAATTTCTTTTGCCTTACTGTAATTATGTAGGATGTTCTCTAAGAGTATATATGTATGATTAGGTGTTGTTGTTTTTTTAAAATGCTTCTATGGACCCAAAGCACCCATCTCCAAAAAACAAAATTTAACCATTATCTGCATTTGTTTTGGGTGTGTGTGAGCGAGAGAGACAGGATAGGGCTTGTTTAATTGCACCTTTTAATTCTGGCGGTTTATTTTAATGTTTGGATGGGGGGTTTTTTTATCATGCATTTTAGTTAGGCCGCGTGTGGGTGGGTGTGCATTTTTCGTAATTGGTTTTATACTTGTAAATGGATGCCATTTTGGCCATTGGGCAGCACATCAGTTAATAATAGGTGCACAGCTGATGCATGTAATACTCCTTGGTCCACATCCAATGTCTTCTTCAGTCTGTGCTCCTCCTCCTCCCTGCTGACATTGAGAGTCCTGCTCCGAGTAGACCCATTTGTAATAAATGGACTTGACTAACTTGTTTTCAGTGGGCTTGCTCTTGAGTGTGACTTAGTCAGACACAACCTTCCGTGTCATTTTGGTTTGTGATAATATTCTGTGGGGCTATGTTCCAGGCACCAGGTTCCTATGGTGTTTGCCATTTTGAAAGGATCAGTTATTTTAGCCGAGACGTTGAAAAGTTCAGATAGGGAGATACAGGATGCATTGAGGTCTCCTGGGTCCCAGGCAGGAATCATCCCAAGCCTCAACTGGAGATGCCAGGGATCAAACTTGGAACCTTTTGCTTGCAAAACAAAGACTCTACCACTGAACTACAGCCGTTTTCCCGAGGATCTGTGTGGATGGTACAGCTGAAAGCAGAGACGTCGGGACAAAGCCTGCCATGCTAACTCTCGCAACTTCCTTGAGGTTCCTTCTTCCTCCCCACTAGACCTGCTCAGGTGTAGCTGATGCCTGGGTGCAGTGGGTGGTGCTGTGGTCTAAACCACTTAGCCTCTTGGGCTTGCCGATCGGAAGGTTGGCTGTTCGAATCCCCCCCCCCCCCGTTGCTCTGCCCCAGCTCCTGCCAACCTAGCAGTTTGAAAGCACGCCAGGGCAAGTAGATAAAGAGGTACCACTGCGACGGGAAGGTAAACAGCGTATCTGTGTGCTCTGGTTTCCATCACGGTGTCCCATTGCGCCAGAAGCGATTTAGTCATGCTGGCCGCATGACCCGGAAAGCTGTCTGTGGACAAACGCCGGCCCCCTCACCCTGAAAAGCGAGATGAGCGCCGCAACCCCATACTCGCCTTTGACTGGACTTAACTGTCCAGGGGTCCTTTACAGGTTAACCTATCCCATGTTGAAAGGGAACGATTTCCCCTTCCTATCCTAGCTCATTTATCCCTTCCTCTGACCAGGCAGGAGATCTCCCCAAACGTGTGGCCGAACCAACACTGGTATCTTAAATGTTGACTTTCGTGAAACCTGCCTACTTGTTTACGTGGATGGTGTCTGGTCCGAAAAACAGTACAGTGGACACACGGGTTGCAAACGTGATCCGTGCGGGATGCACGTTCGCAACCCACGTCTGCTCACGCATGGGTTGCTATTTGCTATCGCTTCTGAGCATGCGCAAAGCGCGATTTAGCACTTCTGCGCATGCACGACTGCTGAAACCCGGAAGTAACCTGTTCCGGTACGTCTGGGTTTCGGCGGTCTGTAACCTGAAAAAACTCAACCTGAAGCGTCTGTAACCTGAGGTATGACTGTACTTCTAAGGACAGGGCGTGCTGACCATTGTTCACTAGCACAAACCATGCGATTCTCTTAACATTATCTCATGGTTTGCGGGGGGTATTCAGTTGACATTACACTCTGTCCTAAGCTCTTACTTTGGACCAGGCTGTAAACTGACTTGGAGGTTGCTTTGCAGGAGTTCTTTAATTGTGTTCTTTAATTGTTCATTTCCTCGCCTCCATTCATGAGCTAAGGACAGTGGAGCACACCCTGTTTAGGTCACAGTCCCTGGCTGAAAGCAGTCAATACCAGAATCCACAGAGCTCTGTGTCGTATCCAGCACCGCTGTTCTGCTGGGGCAGAAAACTTCCACTTGTGCAACTCTGGATTGTTAAAACCACCCTGGGAATTGTTCTTTTTATTATGATGTTTATGTATTGATACTTAATTCAAAGATGTACAGAAATACATACCCATTACAAAGCATCTTTTTTTATAACATACGGATATAAAACAGCTACTTAATCTTAAAAAAAGGAACAAAGTCAGAAGGAAGAAAATACAAGAAAAGGAGAAATCTGAGGAAGAAGAAGGCCAGAGAAAAGAAAGAAAGAAAAAACTAAAGAAACAGTAAAATAAATTACTCTCTGCAGCTACATATTCTACTCCTTCTTTAAGATCCAGCCATTCTGTTTTCTATAAACCAGTATTTTTTTCAGTCTTCAAATCCAGATATTACAAGTCCTTTTTTCCCTTTCACACAAAAAGTCCATAAGGAATTTCCAAACCTAAACAAATGATTTCTATCTAATTGGACACGTCAGCTTAGCCATCTCAGCCAAGACCAGTAATTTTATCAGCCGTTCTTCTATAGGGGTAATGCTGTGTCTTTCAATCTTTGTGCATGTAGAAGTGAATCGTATATTGGAGTAGTCTTCCACAGTCCTGGGAACTGTAGTTTTGTGAGGGGAAATAGGGGGTCTTCTAACAACTCTCAGCACCTGTAGCAAACTACAGCTCCCAGGGTTCTTTGGGGGAGAAACCTGGGGTGTTTTAAATTAGCATTGTAGTGCATTAGATGCATACAGTGGTACCTCAGGTTAAGTACTTAATTCGTTCCGGAAGTCCGTACTTAACCTGAAACTGTTCTTAACCTGAAGCACCACTTTAGCTAATGGGGCCTCCTGCTGCTGCCGCGCCGCTGGAGCACGATTTCTGTTCTCAACCTGAAGCAAAGTTCTTAACCTGAAGCACTATTTCTGGGTTAGCGGAGTCTGTAACCTGAAGCATATGTAACCTGAGGTACCACTGTAGTGCCAAATCCTGCTCCCTAAAACCATGCAGCCCGTACAGTGGCTGCTGCGTCCTTCTCAAGCATTTCCTTCTCTGGCCCTACCAAGATCTCTTGGTCACAGACAGTTATGTAAAGCACATTTGACACTCATCTGGCTGCTCCAGCTAACACTCTGGCTCTGCAGGTTCCTTAGAAACCACCTGAGGGGGCAGAACTTTTCCACAGATGCCAGGCAGCTGAATGCAAATATTCCAGAAGGCCAAGTCTCTGGGCACAAACAGAACCAGGACCACGTTCACAGTGGGAACAACTTGCATTCATGGGCTTGAAACTCTGCTCCTCCCGCAGCGCTGTGTAATTTCAGGAAGCGTGGGTGTAAACGGTGTAAAGGACTCAAATTTTCCACTCCCCGCGTCGTCGCAAACCCTGAGAGTCTCCTCTGCCCTGGCTGTAACTTTCCAGTGGAACGTTTCGGTGGTTCTTCAGCTAGAGGAGAATTTCTCCCGAAGCACCTAGTCTGTCCTTCCAAGTCAAGAATTCAGGCAGGACAGATCCTTTTTCGTGTGCTGCTTCTATGTCAAGTCCAGAGGGCGGCAACACGAGAAAGGGCCTTTTCTGTGGTGGCTCCCCATTTGTGGAATGCTCTCCCCAGGGAGGCCCTCCTGGCGCCTTCATCATACACCATTAGGTGTTTACATTTTGCATTTCTCTATTGTGAACCGCCCTGTGATCTTCATACAAAGGGCGGGTATACAGATTTAAGAAATTAAACAATCAAATAAATACCCACCTATCCTAAATGGGGGACGCGGGTGGCGCTGTGGGTTAAATCACAGAGCCTAGGACTTGCCGATCAGAAGGTCGGCAGTTCGAATCCCTGTGACGGGGTGAGCTCCCATTGCTCGGTCCCTGCTCCTGCCAACCTAGCAGTTCGAAAGCACATCAAAGTGCAAGTAGATAAATAGGTACCGCTGTGGCGGGAAGGTAAACAGATTTTCCGTGCGCTGCTCTGGTTCGCCAGAAACGGCTTAGTCATGCTGGCCACATGACCCGGAAGCTGTACGCCGGCTCCTCGGTCAGTAAAGCGAGATGAGCGCCGCAACCCCAGAGTCGTCCACGACGGGACCTAATAGTCAGGGGTCCCTTTACCTTTATCCTAAATGGACGGTTGAGGTAGTGACTTGTTTAAGGCAAGTCATAACACGGTGACTCACAGCAGGGTTTACGAGTGGCGGCTGTTGTGGGTAATATCACAGTAGTACAGCTAAGGCATAATAATAATTTCAGGGCCAAGCAATCATGCAGTTACAGCGGCAGGTTCCCCTTTTGCAATTCAGGAAGGTGTTTTAAAGGTAAAGGGACCACTGACCATTAGGTCCAGTCGCAGACGACTCTGGGGTTGCGGAGCTCATCTCGCTTTATTGGCCGAGGGAGCTGGCGTACAGCTTCCGGGTCATGTGGCCAGCATGACTAAGCCGCTTTGGCGAACCAGAGCAGCGCACGGAAACACCGTTTACCTTCCCGCTGGAGTGGTACCTATTTATCTACTTGCACTGGCGTGCTTTCGAACTGCTAGGTTGGCAGGAGCAGGGACCGAGCAACGGGAGCTCACTCTGTCGTGGGGATCCGAACTGCCGACCTTCTGATCGGCAAGCCCTAGGCTCTGTGCTTTAACCCACAGCACCACCCGCATCCCTGGAAGGTATTTTAGAAACCAGCTAAAGAAGAATATAACTGGTGCATCAGGTTTGGGGTCCGTTGTAATGGAGGTGGAAACCTGAGCTGTCTCAGAGGTGGCTGCAGAATTGGGAATCTCTCCAAAGGGCATCGCACTCTGGGACAAGGAGTCCTCGAGATCTGTGCCAAGGAATTACTTTTGTAGCAATAGCGGTTGTTCTTTCAAAGAAAAGCCCAGCCATATAAATTACCTGCTGCTTAACTGCAGTTTCTTTGGGACACCCGAAGCCGATCCAAACTCTCGTTTTCTTCTCCTTTCTTCTGTTGTCGCAGCCAGATCTTTTCTCAGTCCCGGCTCAGAAGGGAAGCTCCTCCGGTTACCCCAGATAAATAGCAATAATGGAAGCTTTTTGGACTGAAATTAATGCAAGTCGGAGGTCACGGCCTTGCCGTCAGATGAGATTTATGGAAAAGCTGGCTGCCTGCTCTGTCCCTCTGCGGGTTTTCATGGGAGCACTGTTTCTTTTTTTTACAAAAAACCTGTAAATTATAGCTGAAATGCATTTTCTCAAGATTGCACATCTCTTGTCTTTAATGAACTTAACATGAAAACAAGTGTCAGCAAGCCTACCCAGATACATCATTTCGTTATCTTTCTTAGTTTCAAAAGGCTTGCTGATTTTTTCCGTGTTTCACTGATAATTATCTTACATAGCCTTCTTTCTTTCAAACGAGCTTTTTAGCTGTGTCTTATAGATAATTTTATTAAAACACACTGCTTAGAGAGTTTCACAACTTAGTGGGCTGTAAATCTTTCGAAATGAAATGAATAAACGGCGTTTTGATTTCAGGGACGCTCCAACCAAATACTTTGTGAAAAAACATTATTATTATTATTATCTTCCTTCCTTCCTTCCTTCCTTCCTTCCTTCCTTCCTTTCTTTCTTCCTTTCTTTCTTTCTTTCTTTCTTTCTTTCAAACTTTTACATCCTCCCGCCCCCCTGCTCCAATTTGGACCACATGGGTGACTAATGACAAGAATAAACAAAAGGGCCATGCAAGATTTAAGACAAAAGTCACAAAAAGTGCAATGAGAACCTACTAGCAACCAAACTGCACCCAGAAAATAATATTTCCTTATGGTCCCAAAGCCCGGGCAACTGAAAAGGTCTTTGGCCTCCTCTTAAACATTGCTGCAGTGGGGAGAAGACCAGATTCCGCTGGAGCAGGGAGCTTCCATAGGTGAGCTGGTGCCATTGAGAACTCCCTTCCAAAGCAATTTAAGTCCCCTTGATTTTGGAGGGCGAATTGGGCAGGAGTATCGCTCCCTCCCCCAGCGGTGTTTAAAAGACCTCAGTATTTTGACTTGTAAAAGCAGCACCCAAGTGATGTGGAGTGGAGTTCAGTTCTGTCTCCCTTCACAATTTGAGGCCCTGCCCAGTTTCGAACCCTTAACCTTCCAGGGATATAATAGACAACACCTGAAAGTCTTGTGAGAATCTCCACGCTGTTTTTTCCATTCTGTGCTGGAGTTCTGTAATGTCTGAATTTGCCTCTTGGGCAGCCTTCATGTTCTGTTATGATGGGGTTTTTTCCATCTTCTTTGTACATGTGCTGGGAGCTATTTGATGTTCTCATAGGTGTTTTGTGTTGTCTTCCCCCCTTTGCTCTCTACAGGATGTGGGCATTTCTCCAACCCAGCGGGACGAAGTGGTTCAGTGGATGGTCAAACTCAAGTTCCAGTTCCACCTTTACCCAGAAACGTTGGCCCTGGCTGTCAGTCTCTTGGACAGGTTTTTAGCTGCCGTGAAGGTAAATATTTGACCATCGGGATCTTGGGAACGATCTGTTCGACCTAACCCAGCTGTTTTCAAAAAAGCAATTTTGTTTTTCCTTCTTCCATCTCCCGGACTTGGCCCCTGTGAGATCTTTTCACGCAGCAGTTTTCCTTCTGCTCAAAGATCAAATCCTTGATCTCCGTGCCCTCAGCCCTGTCTCCTATGTGGGCAAGCTGAAGCAAAAAATAAAAATAAAATAACCAGTTTGTGTGTAAAACAGCCTTTATCAACCTTGGCTCCCCAGATGTACCGTATTTTTCGCTCTGCAAGACACACCAGACCACAAGACGCACCTAGTTTTTGGAGGAGGAAAACAAGAAAAAAATTATTCTGAATCTCAGAAGCCAGAACAGCAAGAGGGATCACTGCGCAGCGAGAGCAGCAATCCCTCTTGCTGTTCTGGCTTCTGTGATAGCTGCGCAGCCTGCATTCGCTCCATAAGACGCACACACATTTCCCCTTACTTTTTAGGAGGGGAAAAGTGAGTCTTAGAGAGCAAAAAAATACGGTATTTGGCCTACAACTCCCATCATCCCTGAGCACTGGTCCTGTGAGCTAGGGATCATGGGAGTTGTAGGTCAGAAACATCTGGGGACCCAAGGCTGAGAACCACTGGAAGGAAGAAGTTTATTTGTTTTATTTCAAGCATTTATCAACCAGGCCTTTTTTATGTCTGCAACATAAAACCAATAAACATTATCAGCTATCACAGAGTTAGACCTGCGGTGGGCAACACCTGTCCCAACTAGGAACATAGAATTGTAGAGTTGTAGACCCCAAGGATAACACTGGTCAACAACAAATTTGTTGTCTGCGTTTTTTCAGTTGATTTAGGACGAATCTGATGCGCTGAATCCAAAAATCACATTGGTTTTGCTCAATCAGGTCAAGTTTTTGAGCTATGGCCACGTCGTTTTTTTACGTTTTTGTTCACATGTACGCTTGTGTGGAGCATTTTAGAAGACGTTGGTGGGGGTAAAATGCCATGTCAAATAATTGTTTTGATTGGAAATGATTATTTTAATGACAAGAAGTATTCAGGTCCGATAGTTCTGGGTGATTATGTCGAAAAGGGATCAGTTTGAAGTCATAAAACCTCGAAATCTTCCATAAATTGGTGCGGCAAAGCATAAAGTTGGGGGATCAAAACTAAGTTAATGGGGCAGCTGCCCCACGAAGTATCCTGATCTTCAATCAGCGCGTTGTCCTGTAGCTCATTGTGATGAAATTCCAGTGCCTATCTTCGGAGAACTTCCTGACATTAGTGACGAAGATGCCTCCAGTGTCGAAGGACATGAAGAAGAAGAAGTGGTTCTTGAAGATGATGCTCCACATCATCTTCAAGGAGGAGTTGAATGATCTAGTTCGCGACCTCAGCTTGTCAAAGGACTCTGCCGAATTGTTGGCATCCAGATTGAAGGGAAAAAACCTCCTCTCTGACAGTGCTCGCATCAGCTTCTTCCGCAACAGGTATCAAGAGTACCTCCGTTTTTTCTCGGAAGAGAAGGACTTGGTGTACTGTGCAGATATTGCGCAGGTTCTGCTCAAGCTTGGAGTGCCACAGTACGAACCCAGCAATCGATCACTGAAATGTGTTCTGCTACACAACGGCAACCAGTTTGCCTCTATACCCCTGGCTCACTCGAGTACACTGAAGGAGAACTATGAAGCGGTGAAGTATGTTCTGGAGAAAATTGGTTATGATCAGCATAAGTGGTTTATTTATGTTGACCTGAAGATGGTGAACTTTTTGTTGGGACAACAGTCTGGCTTCACCAAGTACCCATGTTTTCTGTGCATGTGGGATAGTAGGGACTGTGCTCAGCATTACATGAAGAAGGACTGGCCTGTGCGGGAGGAATTGGTGCCTTGCAAAAAAAGGAACGTCATCAATGACCCTCTGGTGGACAGAGACAGAATACTCTTCCCACCGCTGCACATCAAGCTCGGCTTAATCAAGCAGTTCACCAAGGCTCTGGACAAGGATGGTGACTGCTTCACTTACTTGTGCCAGGCTTTTCCAGGATTGACCATGGAGAAGTTGAAAGCTGGCATCTTTGACGGTCCTCAGATCCGTCAGTTCATCAGAGATCCAGAGTTCGGAAACTCAATGAACGAAGTGGAACTGGAAGCGTGGAAGGCATTTGTTCTTGTAGTGAAGAACTTTCTTGGCAACAATAAGGCCAGAAACTACGCAAAACTTGTCAACAACATGCTGACTGCTTTCAGAAACCTGGGCTGCAACATGAGTGTCAAGATGCACTACCTATTTTCACATATGGACCGGTTTCCTGAGAACCTGGGTTCAGTGAGCGACGAGCAGGGGGAGAGATTCCATCAGGACATGAAAGAGATGGAGACCAGGTATCAGGGTCGCTGGGACGCAGTCATGATGGCTGACTACTGTTCAACTCTGAAGAGAGACCTCCCTGCCGCTGAGCATTCCAGGAGTTCCAAGAAACGGAAGTTCAAGCCCTGAAGTTTGAAAAATGGTGAAGCAACATGCAATTTACATGTACTTACCTTTATCAATGCCCACCATTCAGTTTACAGCAAACCAGACCTGATGGAGAGAAACGGATGCCATTTCCTGATTCAGCAGTGCAAAAATACCCTAAATCAGTTGTAGAAATCTAGACAACATTCAAAAAGTAAAAAATTGTTGCCCAGTGTAATCTAATCCAACCGCTTATAATGCAGGAATCATCTGAAGCATCCCTGAAAGATGGCCACCCAACCTCTGCTTAAAAACCTCCAAGGAAGGAGAGTCCACTGTCTCCCAAGGGAGACCGTTCCACTGTCCAACAGCTCTTACAGTCAGAAAGTTCTTCCTGGTGTTTAGTCGGAATCTCCTTTCTTGGAACTTGAAGCCGTTGATTCGAGTCCTTCCCTCCAGAGTTGGAGAAAACAGGCTTGCCCCATCTTCCATGTGACAGCCCTTGAGATATTTGAAGATGGCTATCATATATGACCTCTTTTCCAGGCTAAACATACCCAGCTCCTTCAACCATTCCTCATAAGGCTTGGTTCCCCAGACCTTTGATCATCTTGGTTGCTTTCCTCTGCACACATTCTAGCTTGTCAGTATCCTTCATAGATTGTGGCACCTAGAACTGGACCTGCGTTCCGGAGCAGGAGAAAGCAAGCTTTCCGTTTTCCATGTGACAGCCCTTGAGATATTTGAAGATGGCTATCCTATCTCCTCTCGGTCTCCTCTTTTCCAGGCTAAACATACCCAGCTCCCTCAACTGTTCCTTTACCAACTGCACTGGCTCCCGGTGGAGTTACAGGGTCAGGTTTAAAGTGGTGGTTTTGACCTTTAAAGCCCTATGTGGCCTAGGACCCACGTACCTACGGGGCCGCCTCTCCTGGTATGCCCCGCGGAGGACCTTAAGGTTTACAAATGACAACATTTTGGAGGTCCCAAGTCACACAGTGGTTAGATTGGTCTCAACTAGGGCCAGGGCCTTTTCAGTACTGGCCCCGACTTGGTGGAACGCTCTGTCACAAGAGACTAGGGCCCTGCGGGACTTGACATCTTTCCGCAGGGCCTGCAAGACGGAGCCTTCGGTTGGGACTCAGTCTGACCCTTACGTTTCCCTCCCCTTAGGGTTTTGATCTATGGGCTATTATTAAAACGAGGCTGCATTTTAAATTGTATTTTTAACCTGTATTTTAAATTGTCCCCCCCCCCCCCCGTTATGTTTTTATTGTAATTTTACTGGTGTTAGCTGCCCTGAGCTGAGCCCGACTCTGGCCGGGGAGAGCGGGGTATAAATAAAAATTTATTATTATTATTGGGTTTGTTTCCCAGACCCTTGATCATCTTGGTCACCCTCTTCTGCACACGTTCTAGCTTGTCAATATCCTTCTTAGATTGTGGCACCTAGAACCGGACCTGCGTTCCGGAGCAGGAGAAAACAAGCTTGCCCCATCTTTCATGTGACAACCCTTTAGATATTTGAAGATGGTTATCCTATGTCCTCTCAGTCTCCTCTTTTTCATTCCTCATAAGGCTTGGTTCCCCAGACCTTTGATCGTCTTGGTTGCTTTCCTCTGCACACGTTCTAGCTTGTCAATATCCTTCTTAGATTGTGGCACCTAGAACTGGACCTGCGTTCCGGAGCAGGAGAAAACAAGCTTGTTCCATCTTCCATCTCATATCCCTCGGGATATTTGAAGGTGGCTAACATATATCCTCTCAATCTCCTCTAACACAGCTAGCCTCATGGTCAGCAAGCTACCTTATACTGAGCCAGACCATTAGCTCAGTATTCTTGGCACAGAGTGGCAAGCTGCTCCTCAGTTCCAGGCAGGGATGCTGCTGGGCATTGAACCGGGCGCCTTCTGCTTGCGAGGCAGGCATCCTGCCATTGAACCACAGCCTCTCCCCCTGCTGCTCTTGCCAGCTGGCCCTCCAGAGACGCCGCTCCTTAGCTCTTCCTCTCCCCTCTCTCCTAGGCCCGTCCAAAGTACTTGAACTGTATTGCAATTAGCTGCTTCTTCCTCGCTGCCAAGACCATTGAGGAAGATGAGGTAAGTGCTTTCCCCCTTGGAGGGGCGGGGGGGCCAGAGCCGCCGCGTTTTTCATTGCACCACCCGCTTCAGAAAGCTGTCGTAACAGGCTTGCGGTCAGGGCTGCCTTGCCAAAGCAGTAGTGAGAACTCTGTGGCTTTGTTGTGGGCATGCTGTGGGTATAAGGATGGGGTGGCAGGTGCCTCTCCTGCTTGCACCCCGTGGGGTTGTGTGGGGTTGGCACCCTGAGCCAACTGGCAGATAAAGGTTGAAGCGCCCAATATTTATTGTGCTCCCCTTCCTCCTGAATTTGATAAAAGACACACAAACACACACACACACACACACACACACACACACACGAGAGTGTCTTTGTTTCCTCCAACACCTAGTAACAATGGTCTTAAGGCAAAAATCATAGAATTGTAGAGTTGGAAGGGACCATGAGAGGCATTAATAATAATAATAATAATAATAATAATAATAATAATAATAATTTACTTATTTACTTACTTACTTACTGGCTCCCAAGAGAAAATAATAATAATAATAATAATAATAATTTATTTGTACCCCGCCCATCTGGCTGGGTCTCCCCAGCCACTCTGGGCAGCTTCCAACAAAGATTAAAAGCACAATAAAACATTAAACATTAAAAACCTCCCTAAACAGAGCTTCCTTCAGATGTCTTCTAAAAGTCAGATAGTTGTTTATTTCCTTGACATTTGACGGGAGGGCATTCCGCAGGGCGGGTGCCACTACCGAGAAGGCCCTGTGCCTGGTTCCCTGTAACTTGGCTTCTCACAGTGAGGGAACTGCCAGAAGGCCCTCGGCGCTGGATCTCAGTGTCCAGGCTGAACGATGGGGATGGAGACACTCCTTCTGGTCTACTGGGCCAAGGCAGTTTAGGGCTTTAAAGCTCAGCACCGGCACTTTGAATTGTGCTTGTAAACGTCCAACCCCCTGAAATGCTGGAATATTTCGCTGAATTTAGGACTTTTACCCATGACCTTGAGATTAAAGAGCCTCGTTCTCTTTTTTCTTTTTTAAATGATATTTATTAAAGTTTCAAAGAATACAAAAACAAAAAATAAAATACAAGAAAATACAAAATACAGAAAAAAAGAATAAAGTTTTTAAGATATAACAAAAAAATGAAAAATAAAGAGAAACATACAAAATAAAAACAGTTAAAAACACGTTAATTTTCCATAGCATATCTTCCTTACACTTATTTCCCTCCTCGTACCTCCCTTTTTTGTATTCCAGTTCAGTTTGTTAGTTCAGCAAATCCTTACCATTAAGCTTTTACCCACTTGTAAACCTTTTTTCGTATCTCTTAAAGCATTACAGCTGGAAACCACTTAGTTTCTATCCAACATCCTTCTAAGATTCCTTAATTTTACAATATTTCTATAAGTAGTCTTTAAATTTCTTCCAATCTTCTTTCACCGACTCTTCTCCCTGGCCTCGTTCTCTACTGACTACCAGGAAAATGGAATGCCTGCCATCAAAACGGTGTGAGGGGAACAGGCCTTTTCTGCGATTGCTCCCCGCTTGTGGAATGCTTCTCTCAGAGATGCTCACCTGGAGCCTTCGTTACATATCTTTAGGCAAAAACATTCCTCTTTACCCAGGCCTTTGGCTATTAAATAATCTATGGCTTGTTAAAGCTGGGGGGGGGGGCTGTTATTATGATTATTGTTATCATGTCCATTACTTTCCCCCCCAAATTTTTTTATTGGTTTTCCACATTTATGACAAAAAAAGGCATTACAAAACACACAACAAAGAAAAACACTTTACAATACAGTAAACTAAACATAAAAAAGAATTATTTCTTCAGATATCTAATTCTTATAACATTAATAACTGACTTCCTCACATCCCCTCTAACTGAATTTCATTATATCACCTGTAGGACAGATCTCCAAATTCATATTTCTAATAATATTGACTCCTAACATTTACGAAGCTCTTCTCCTTTGTTAATATTCTAATCCTTAATATTTACTAACACATATTCTTATTCTACTCCTAAGCCTATTTATTACTTCCAAGAGTTTTCTAATCATCTTAAGTTGCAGTTTTTGCTAAATATTCTTTAAATTTCTTCCAATCCTCTTGTCTCTCCTCTTCTTTCTGGTTGCGAATTCTTCCAGTCAAGTCGGCCAGCTCCAATAAAATCCATCATGTCCGTTAGTATGCTTTTTACTGCGTTTTTGTTTTTACGCTCTGCAAAATGTGTTCTTAATATTGTACACTACCCTGGGATCTTTAAAATGGTGGGACATAAACCAAAATCGTCATCATCCAGCAATCCATGCAACAATTGGGTGATGATTGCTCTTCCCAGATCACCCAGTGTGCTTCTTGACTGAGCACAGGTTTGGACCGGCGGCTTGCAGTCTGCCTCATAGCAACTGTTTTCTTTCTGCTCTGACTTTTGCAGAAGGTTCCGGTACTGAAGGTGTTGGCCAGGGACAGCTTTTGTGGCTGTTCCCCAGCGGAGATTCGCAGGATGGAGAAGATCATTCTGGACAAGTTGAACTGGGATTTGCACATAGCCACACCCCTGGACTTCCTTCATATTGTAAGCATATCAAAGGCCTTTTGGGGTGCGGGGAGAGAGAAAAGAGTGGCAAGCTTTTGGTGGTGTTGGGTGGAAAAAGGGACAACTCTATCCAGCGTGCAGGAACTGGGGAGGTATATTCCTTTATGCCAGGCCACTCTCTCAAGTGTTGTGTTAGATAAGATTGATTTATTGCTCAGATAAGCTTGAGGTCCGGCACACTTCCCATCGCAGCTCTGCATTCCAAAGACCACATTCCGATACTTCTGAGCATAGCAGAGTTTCAACAGCGGCAAGAGGAAACTAAAAAAAAAAACTCCAGTGCATTCTTCAGTGTGCTTAAATAAAGTCCACTCAGGATCTTAGCAGCTAGAAGCAGTTTTATTTACAGCAGGCTATCCATTATCTATCACAGCGAACAGCATCACGAAAACACGTCCTCTCTCCTCAAAAGCGAAAGTAGAGAGAGAAGAACAAAGACTTGAGTCTCTCGGAACTGACGTAGAAGTTCCCTCCCAACAGTAGGCAGAGCGTACACTCTGAGCTGTTTAACCCTGTAAGCTCAGGTTCTCCTCACATGTTGTTGCTTCCAAGAAAAGCCTTTAGGATGGAGCGAAACAGAATTAAAACTTAAATTGCATCAGTAGTCAGGGGCCATCGCTGTGTGTTTTCCACAACGCCACCATGCAAATGCAGCACAGAATTCGCTGTCGTTTTTAAAGGCTTTCTGATTCTGAAGGCTTTGAAGCCGGGTGAGAAAACGTGTAGGTTTGCCTGGGAGCATTTGCTGACATCCGACGCAGGTGGCGCTGTGGTCTAAACCGCTGAGCCTCTTGGGCTTGCCGATCAGAAGGTCGGCGGTTCGAATCCCCGCGACGGGGTGAGCACCCGTTGCTCTGCCCCAGCTCCTGCCAACCTAGTAGTTTGAAAGCACACCAGTGCAAGTAGATAAATAGGTACCACTGTGGCCGGAAGGTAAATGGCGTTTTTGTGCACTCTGGTTTCCGTCCCGGTGTCCTGTTGTGCCAGAAGCGGTTTAGTCATGCTGGCCACATGACCCGGAAAGCTGTCTGTGAACAAACACCGGCTCCCTTGGCCTGAAGCGAGATGAGCACCACAACCCCATAGCCGCCTTCGACTGGACTTCACCATCTGGGGTCCTTTACTTAGAGAGGTGGTGAGATCTCTGTCACTGGATGAACACCGAGGATGTTCTAACTCTGGATTTCCAGAATGATGCCCTTCAAATTGGTTTCAAAGCCGTTTAACCCCAGCCACCGCAATACGAGTTACCGGTGTGTGTGGCTTTAAAACAGCATTAGACAAATTGGCGGAGGAGGCGGCTATCTATGCTGTTGTGCTCAGATCCTGCTTGCAGGTTTTCCGTGGGCATCTGGTTGGCCATGGTGAGAACAGGATGTTTTTAGGCTCTTTAATAATAATGATGATGATGATGATTTATTTATACCCTGCCCGTCTGGCTGGGTTTCCCGAGCAACTCTGGGCGGATTCCAACAGAACACTAAAATGCAATAGCCTATTAAACATTAGAAGCTTCCCTGAACAGGGCTGCCTTCAGATGTCTTCTAAATGTCTGGTAGTTGTTTTTCTCTTTGACATCTGGTGGGAGGGCATTCCACAGGGCGGGTGCCACTACCGAGAAGGCCCTCTGCCTGGTTCCCTGTAACTTGGCTTCTCGCAGCGAGGGAACTGCCAGAAGGCCCTCGGCGCTGGACCTCAGTGTCCGGAAAGAATGATGGGGGTGGAGACGCTCCTTCAGGTATGTTGGCACTTTTGTGTGTTGGCGCTAGTAATCTCTAGCAGGGAACTGGCACTGCCTTCCCCAAACTGCCTTTCCTCTGGTTTTAAGCTGAATTGGTGCCCTCAGGGCAGCCGTTCCTTAAGCCGTCTTAGTCATGCTGCCCTTTCTCTCCCAAGTTCCACGCGGTGGCCTTATCCACCCGGCCTCAACTGCTGACCACCTTGCCCAAGATGAACCCGTCTCAGCATGTGGCTCTTCTCACCAAGCAGCTGCTCCACTGCCTGGCCTGCTACCAGCTGCTCCAGTTCAAGGGGTCCATGCTGGCCTTGGCCATCGTCAGCCTGGAAGTGGAGAAACTCATCCCTGACTGGCTCGCCCTCATCATCGAGCTGCTCCAGAAGGCACAGGTAGGCCTGGGGCGATGAGGGAGCAAGAGCCCTGAGGCCTCGTTGAGAATGACAAGCCTTGCCTTTTCTTTCTTTCTTCCTTCCTTCCTTCCTTCCTTCCTTCCTTCCTTTTTTATTAAATAAATTTTATTGACATATAAAACACATAAATATACATTTACACAATACACGTACATAACACGCTACCTTATTTTCATAACATAAAACATACCTACATTACTCTATATAATACCTACCTATACTGTACATATCAACATACCTACCCCACATGGACACCCACCAAGGGACTTTACTTCCAGCCCTTCTTGTTACGCTACTTTATTTGGCTGGCGGACCCTGCAAAGCCAGCTCTCCAGTGGCTCGATTCCCCGATGCGAGCTGGCAAGTGGATGACTCTTCTCTTTGCTTCTTCCTCTCCTCTCTGAATCCAGATGGACAGCTCCCAGCTCATCCACTGCCGGGAGCTGGTCGCACAGCACCTTTCCAGCTTGCAGCCGTCTCCGCCACCCAACTCGGTCTACGTCTACAGCCCCCTCAAGCACAACCTGGTGACCTGCCACGCCGGACCGGGCTTCCGATTCCACCCAGGCTCCAAGGACAAGCCAGAAGTGCCAGTCAAGACCTCCGCTGCGCTCTCTCGGCGGCCGGCCCCCGGCAGGTGCAAGCAGGCGACGGCCAAGCGCAAAGTGGAGGAGATGGAGGTGGACGACTTCTACGACGGGATCAAGCGCCTGTACAACGAGGAGAATGCTCCAGAGGCCGTAGCAGCCCTAGAGGGCAAGGCTGCCTCCGCCTGCGGGGCCGACGCGTCGCGGCAAGCGGCGTCCGCGTCGCCCTGCCCTCCCTTGCAGCCTGTTTCCGTTATGTAGCTAGCTGCGCATCTGCACGGCGCAGCCTCTGGCGGAAAGGGGGTACTTCGGGCAGCAATACGGCTACCGCGCTGACAGGAGCGAAGGCCGTACCTTTCAGGGCCGAAGCAGAAGGGAGCTTAAGTTATCCTTTAAAATAAGATTCCACCCTCCCCACCCTCTCCTGTCCTTGTGTGGCTAATTATAGTTCAACTATGATTTAAGTACTTAAAAAAAAAAAAACCAACCACAAAAAGTATTAAAAAAAACCTTTTAAAAATGACCCAAAAACCAAACAAAAAAAGTAGCAGAAAATTGTTTCTTTCTAGCGTCCTCCATTCCACTGTTTGATTAAATCTGCTGTTTTGTGTGTTGTAATTCCATCCACTGCGCTGGAGGTTTCACACGGAGTGTGCAAAAAAATCCTTTCCAAAGTTCTAGCTTTGCAGCCTCTCGTTCTGAGTTAGTTTCATTCTGAGAGCGCCCTCTTCACCTTATCCTCTTTTTTTAGCTTTCTGGATGTCTTGTGTGTGACTTCCTGTATTTTTGCACTTTTACTCGGGCAGCCTTTCTTTTTATCCCCCCTCCGCAAACAAGACAGGAAACTCCTCCTCATCCGTCTCTCTTGTGTTTTTTTTGTCATTTAGCACTTTGGTGTTTTAAATGTGATATCTAAAATTAGGTCTGCATTTAAAATCGGGGGGTGGAGAAAGGGGGAGGGGGAGGAAAGGGTGTTTTGAACTGTCCTGCATTAAATAAAATTTAAACCCAGATCTTCGCAATGGGAGATTGCGTTCGGACAGTTGTATTTTGCTTTGGATAGTTCAATTTGCAGGCAGATGAATGAGCATCTTAAATTTTACACAAGAGCGGAAGCAATCTTTATGCCTGCCATTAGATTGACCAAAGCAAACACTTCAATGGGCTTTTACACAAGCGCACACATGTATACATACACAAGTTGAATGAAATACGCATCAAATGCAAATTGTAATTTAACGGGGAGGAAAAAAACCTTTGGTGATGTTGGCACTGCTGTTTGCGCTGGGGCAGTTTAGTAATTGTGTGTTTTCACTTGTAATATGTACATTGATCAGCACAGAGTTTTCTCCCCCCACTCTCCCACCTCCCCAACTTTTATGTTAATGTAACTTTTCAGCCTTGAAGGAGGAGCAAAGAAAACCTCTAAAGAGTACTTCAGCTTCTCGTAAGGATCTCGATTTTAAAGCTCCCTTTACAGCCCCCTTGGAAGGTATTGCGTTCAGCGGTCATACTGGGGAAAGTCTTCTGGTAGCAATAAAAAAACAAAACATGTTGTCCTTCAGTTTTGCGAGTCTTGTGTTTGTTTTCAACATGGGTTGGGACAGAATGAATGAGTCCTCAATGCAGCACCTGTCTGCTTTTCAAAATTCAAACTCCCGTCCTCGTTCTCTACCAAGTCCACTGATGGAAAGAAATGGTCCTGCTACATAACATGGGCTTTTGTCCTCCTCTTAGCGCAAAGTTTCTCTGTGCTTTAAAAGGTAAAGGGATCCCTGACCATTAGGTCCAGTTGTGGCCGACTCTGGGGTTGCGGCGCTCATCTCGCTTTATTGGCCAGCGTACAGCTTCCGGGTCATGTGGCCAGCATGACTAAGCCGCTTCTGGTGAACCAGAGCAGCGCACGGAAACACTGTTTACCTTCCCACTGGAGTGGTACCTATTTATCTACTTGCACTTTGACGTGCTTTCGAACTGCTAGGTTGGCAGGAGCAGGGACTGAGCAACGGGAGCTCACCCCGTCGTGGGGATTTGAACTGCCGACCTGATCGGCAAGCCCAAGGCTCTGTGGTTTAACCCACAGCACCACCCGCGTCTGTGCTTTATTGTTCTTTAATTTCCTACCTCTTAACGAGCAGCGGAAGGAGCTGCTTGGTGCACCAGATGATGCTGTAGCTCACAATGATCACTGGAGGAGATCTTCACTGATCTGCTAATCAGCAGCATCGTTTATGGCACAAAACAATGAGAAGCACTTGGATACTTTCACTGGAGCATAGCTGTCAACGTTCAGATTTGAAAATAAGGGATCAGCAGCCTTGAAAATAAGGGATCAGCAGCCTCACCTGTCCCCGGGGACAGTCTACAGGATATCTAACAATCCAGGATAGCAGCGGGAAATGGCGCTGGAATAAGGGAATTTCCCGCAAAAAAAGGGAAGGTTGACAGCTATGCACTGGAGGTGTCAGAGATTTGAACCCGGGACTGCATTGCATTGCAATAAAAGTCCCCCTCCCCCAGTTGTGAACCTGGATAGATGGAAGCAATTTCCTCCCATTTCACGCACCCGGAAGTCCTTAGAGGTCTCTTCCTTCCCTGCCAATGGAGCCCTTCAGCTTGGGGGTTCCAGTTTTATTTATTTAAAGCTTTCCCCCCCTGCCTAGCCCTCTTGAACCTATGTGTGTTTTCTGAAAGCGAAAAGAGCCAAATGAGGTCTTTGCTCGCCCATCCCCAATGGAACCGGTCAAATCCCAAGTCTGGTATTGAGATCCTAAAGCTGGCTAGCTCCTAGTTCACAGAGATGTTGCAGTGGAAAGGGTGGTAGACTCTTGTGCCTTGATGACCATCTCCTGTGGATGCTTTAGCTGAGATTGCTGTATTGTAGGGAGGTTGGATTGGATAACCATTGGGAGTGTCCCTTCCAACTCTGTGATCCTGCAACGAACCCAAAAGTTTTCAGATCCTGCATCCCTTTTTTTGGGTGGTGATGCAGATAAATTCAGCATGTTCTATACAATCTTTTTTATGGCACGTCTTTGAGCTAAGTGGAGCTTACTCTCAAGTAAGTGGGCATAGGATTGCAGCCTAGGAACTTGAGTAGAGGATTGCCACCAGAAGCTGCAATCCTGTAAGCGGCTGTCTCAGCACTAGCACCCTTGAGCTCAATAGGACAGGCTTTCAAATAGAAACATACAGGATTGTATGCGTCTCTTGTCTCTGCAAGTCCCCATTGTTCTGCGAGTAACACTTAAAATAAGGTTACCAAGATTTTTTTTCAATGAATCCGGGGACACTTTTCGACTTCAGTGGCTTTTGTATGGGGACTGATTGGTAAATCAGTGTGGAGAGAGTCTCTTCCTTTAAATTCCTAGGAGTTTATCTCAGTGAAGACCTTACTTGGAAAATCAATACAACCCAGGTGGTTAAGAAAGCCCAACAGAGACTCCATCTCCTCAGAGTATTCAATCAACATTTGATGATCTCCTACTACCGGTCCACAGTAGAAAGTGTCCTTTCATACTGCATCACGGTGTGGTACGCTGGTTTGACATCAACTGATAGGAAGTGCCTACAGAGGGTGGTGAATACAGCGCAAGATATTATGGGATGTCCCATGAATCCGCTGGATGAAATAGCGGAAGAACGCTGCCTCAGGAGAGTGAGGAAAATTCTCAGGGATGATTCACACCCTGGCCGGCACTTTCTTGATCTCCTGCCCTCAGGCAGAAGATATAGAAGCATGATTAGTCGCACCAACAGGGTAAAGAACAGCTTCTATCCGTGGGCTGTTAGGCTGCTGAATGAAAAGATAACAACAGGGCAACTGACTTTCGGGTTTGGTGGGTGTGCGTCGGTAAACGAGGGGAATTAAGACTAAGAGAGCTGAGTGGGGGGTGCTCGTGTAATCTCACTGTATACAAGTTGTACAAGTGACAAGAAAGTATTTCAAATTCGGGGACTGTCCCCGCAAACGGGGACGTCTGGTAACCTTCAGCTTAAAACTGCCAACTATGCACTCTCAGGCCCTGGTGCTTTGAATGTAGTCTCCAGCTCCCTCCTGTGGCCTCCGTCACTCCTGTCTTCCTAATTATTTCAGGCAGAGAAATAAATTCAGCTTCGTAAAAAGGGGGGGGGGGAGAGAGAAAGGCAAAAACCATAATATGTCAATTCTGCTGGGTTAGCTCAGTTGGTAGAGCATGTGATCCTTCATCTCAGGGTTGTGGGTTCAAGCCCCATGTTGGGGGAAAGATTCCTGCATTGCAGGCAGTTGGACTAGTTAACCTTCAAGGTCCCTTCCAACCTTACAGTTCCATGAGAAGCAACAGTGCTATTTCAACTTTATTTTAAAGTTTTGGAGTGTCTCAATTCATTTACAAACTTCTCCTCCTACCTCATCACTATCAGAAGATGGGAGTTATGGCCAGTAGTTTAGGATTCAGCATAGCTGCAGGTAGTAGATTTTTAAATCTGCTATCACAGAATCTTCGGAAGAAATGTATTTGTTCAAAGCCTTCTTAGGCTGTTCTTCAGCTGATAAAAGACCTACCCAGTGACTTTTGATTATCAGTTTGTATATCTCTGGATACCAAAGGATGGGAAGAAGCAATTGCTTTCATAGTTGGCATACGACTCCCTAGAAGGCTTGTTTAATGCTGGTAGATGTTGAAGTGCTGGTTCAGATCAGCTTTTGACAATCTGGTGATCCTCCAGCTCTTTTGGCCATGTCCGTGATGGGTGTGCTTTAGACCAAAACAGTCGGAGGGGCAGTGGGCTGTTCAGATAGCGATTTTGCTTGGATAGGTCAATACGGCGATTGCTTTTGCAATCCTGAGACTCTTCTGCCAAGCCCTTGCAGCCTGGGTGGCTGATTGCTTTCTTTAATGAGGGGCGGTTGAGACAGCTGTGTCTGGGATTTGATTTTGCAATGGTGGTATAGATAAGGAAGCGAGAGATTTGGGGTAGGGGCATGGAACAAACGGCGATGCCTGGAATGACAAGGCTGCGTTTCTTGGCCTGAGCTGGAAGATGGGTTCAGATGCTACACATACAATCTCGCATGGTTATTGTCAGGGGCAGGTCAGCAATAAATCACACGGAATAAGTGAAGTTAACTCTTTATTAGAAGGAACAAGACTGATTGGTATGATTGGCCTAATGCCAATCTATTTTTTTTTAAATAATATTTATTAAAGTTTCAAAAAAATACAAGAAATACAAAATACAGAAAAAAGAGTAAAGTTTTTTTTAAAGTATAACAAAAAAATAAAGAATAAAAAAGAAACATACAAAATAAAACAGTTAAAAGGACATTAATTTTCCAAACCTATCTTCCCTAGACTTTATTTCCCCGGACCTCCTCATACCTCCCTTTTTTGTATTCCAGTTCAGTTTGTTGGTTCAGCAAATCCTTACCATTAAACTTTTGCCCAATTGTAAACCTTTTCTCATATCTCTTAAAGCATTACAGCTAAAAACCTCTTAGTTTCTATCCAACATCCTTCTAAGGTTCCTTAATTTTACAATATTTCTGTAAATAATCTTTAAATTTCTTCCGGTCTTCTTTCACCGACTCTTCTCCCTGGTCTCGGATTCTGCCAGTCATTTCCGGGCCTAATGCCAATCTAATGCCACCTAAACATTAGGAAGAACTTCCTGACAGTAAGAGCTGTTCGACAGTGGAATTTGCTGCCAAGGAGTGTGGTGGAGTCTCCTTCTTTGGAGGTCTTTAAGCAGAGGCTTGACAACCATATGTCAGGAGTGCTCTGATGGTGTTTCCTGCTTGGCAGGGGGTTGGACTCGATGGCCCTTGTGGTCTCTTCCAACTCTATGATTCTGTGATAATGAGGACAGCGACTCTTCCTAGTAGATCTTGCCCCTATGAGATTGAAGGTCCCCGCCTTCCTGTAGCTGCTTAAGCCTCCTCTCCTGGGTCCTTCCCAAGTAATCGGAGACTCTGCAGACACGCCTGCCTCTGATCCTTCCTCTTCACACCGCTTCTGGTTCTGGAAGACCAGAGAGGAGGGGAGCCCATTGCAGCAGGAGAGGGAGACACCCGTGCCTCTTCACCAGCCTGCCTCATCTCTGCCTCCGATTCCAGTCTTCTCTGCCAGACTCTCCTCACTCACTAAGCTGTTACCTCTCTGGCTCAGAGTTTTCTCTCTGCCCACTCTTTGTCTTCCCAATCCCGCCTTCCCTTGGGGGGTTCCCAGCTGGTTCCTCCCATTTAACCTAGCATTAAACATGCACTGAACTCTGCGTCTCAAAGCAGCTAGCAAGTGTTAAGAAATCCAGGATTGCCATTGGAAGGCTTAAAAAAGGTAAAAGGTCTTAACCACACATCAAGTCTTACCTCCACACACAAGAGGAATCCAGAGCAAATGTGACTGGAGTATATGTTGGTTGTGGGATTTGCCTGCCTGTGCCTTCATTCATTTTTTAACGGAGTGGGAGCCCTTGTCAGCCCATGGCATGCAGTTGTGAGAGGGCATGTTGAGTAGGCTTAGTGCATGGGTAGGCAAACTAAGGCCCGGGGGCCGGATGCGGCCCAATCACCTTCTAAATCTGGCCCACGGACAGTCCGGGAATCAGCATGTTTTTACATGAGTAGAATGTGTCCTTTTATTTAGAATGCATCTCTGGGTTATTTGTGGGGCATAGGAATTTGTTCATTTTTTTCTCCAAAATATAGTCCGGCCCCCCCACAAAGTCTGAGGGACAGTGGACCGGCCCCCTGCTGAAAAAGTTTGCTGACCCCTGTACTAAGCTGTTACCTCTCTTGCTTCGAGTTTTCTGTCTGCCCACTCATTGTCTTCCCAATCTCCTGGCGCTGAGCTTTCTTCCCCAGCTCGTGCCTCCCACTGTTCCTCTGCATCTAGCCCATCCATGACAGTTGTATACCATATTAAATTATCCCTGAACAACTGCCCCCCCCCGTGCTCGCTCTCACTCTTTTTTTTTGAAGCACCTCTAGCTCAAATTAGAACTGCAGCCTTGCTGTCTTACAATTGCTACCCTTTTCCCCAAAAAATTATCCTAGGCCTAATAAGACGGGAGCACGAGAAGCTATTTGCACGTCAGCAAAATTAGCACATGCAAAAAATAGCTCGCTGTATCGTCTCGGGCCTTTTTGTGGGTGGTGGTGTGTGGATATCTAAGACAGCTGCATCTCCCTTCCAACTCGCCTAAAGAAAGCTACTGCATAGGATAACTCGGCTGCAGGACACCCGTCGTATATAGTATCTCGCATAACAACTACCCAATGTGAGAAAAGGCAGCTTTTTTACAGTGAAAAAGGCAAGGGGGGGGTGAGGGGAACCTCACAAAAGTTTGAAACAATAGTTTAACCTAGCATTAAACATGCACTGAACTCTGCGTCTCAAAGCAGCTACCAAGTGTTTAGAAATCCAGGATTGCCACTGGAAGTCTTAAAAAAGGTAAAAGGTCTTATCCACCACGCTTCAAGTCTTACCTCCATGCACAAGAGGAAGCCAGATGTGGGCGGAGGATATGTTGATTGTGGGGTTTGCCTGCCTGTGGCTTCACTCATTTTTTAACCTGGAGTGGGAACCCTTGTCAGCCCATGGGTTGAGAGGGCATATTGGGTAGGCTTAGTGCTTGCTTGCCGCACCTGTTTGCATGCTCAGTTCCTCATCCAGCTTCCACATGAAGTACTTTTGGTTTCTGCAAGATGGTCTGTGGTGGTTGCCGACGTCTCAGCTGCAAGTCATCGCTTGGCAGAGATGGGAAAACTCATCTCTAGTGGGGCCGGGTGTATTCCCTGGTCTGTGGGCACCTTCCCAGGCTCCCCTCTCACCAATCCCGCTTTCCATCACCCTCAAAGGTTCGTGCCCATCAGGAAAGTGTCCTTGCACTCTGACAACAGCTCCTGCTTGCCCGGGTGTGTGTGGATCTGTGTAGAAACTATCCTGTATACAGCTAAAATCTGCATTTCTTGTTGCACCCACTGTTGCCTCTGTGCTCTGCCCACCACAGTCATTGAAGGGAACATGACCCCCAGTCTGAACAATCCCCCCCCCCCTTGATCGGCAGGACAAGCCTCGAGCATGTTAGGTGTGAGATCTTTGCAGAGAGCCAGTGTGGTGTAGTGGTTAAGAGCAGTAGACTTGTAATCTGGGGAACCGGGTTCGTGTCACCGCTCCTCCACATGCAGCTGCTGGGTGACCTTGGGCCAGTCACACTTCTCTGAAGTCTCTCAGCCTCACTCACCTCACAGAGTGTTTGTTGTGAGGGAGGAAGGGAAAGGAGAATGTTAGCCGCTTTGAGACTCCTTAAGGGGAGTGAAAGGCGGGATATCAAATCCAAACTCTTCTCTTCTAAGTCAGAACACAAGAAAGGATGCAAGGAAGGCAAACCCAGCCATTCTCCTTCAATAAGCAAGCCTACCTTTCGCTAAGCACGGCTTTTGTTATCAGGCATTCAAAATGCCCCTGTGGATAGCACTCTCCTTTACTGCAGCGGAAACACAGTTCATAGCACAACCACCAGAGACCTTTCCATGGCTGGAAGAGGGGATGGTGTTTTGTCTCGCAGTGAGATCTTGGTTACATTGGAACAAGACTTCGTGCCATTCTGGTTGTGTCCGTGCTTCTGTATAAACGACGGCTGAACGCAGAGACAAACACGGAGACTGCTCCATCACAAGTTTGCAAGGCCAGTTTGTGTTTTATTTGCATACGACTTGCACAAAAAAAAACTTGCACAAACTCAATGGATCAGTTTAGGAATCCTTGAACGATGACGTGGGCACTGCCGAGCCCCTAAATTCTGTTTTTAGTGTAGGTTCAAAAGGTAGCTGCGTCAACTCGTGCTCCAGAGAGAGAGAAGGGGGTTTGGGGCCGGTTCACACATTGCAGAGAGGACTCTGGGTTTAATAGGTGTACACCGTGCAGGGAGCTGCAGTCAATCATAGCTCCCCAACAAATGCACCTGTAGGATGGCATGGTATTTGCATAAAAGGTAAAGGACCCCTGACAGTTAAGTCCAGTCACGAACAACTGGGGTTGCAGTGCTCATTTCGCTTTACTGGCCGAGGGAGCCGACATTTGTCTGCAGACAGTTTTTCTGGGTCATGTGGCCAACATGACTCAGCCGCTTCTGGCGAAACCAGAGCAGCGCACGGAAACGCTGTTTACCTTCCCGCCAGAGTGGTACCTATTTATCTACTTGCACTTTCTTGGCGTGCTTTCGAACTGTTAGGTTGGCAGGAGCTGGGACCGAGCAACGGGAG